GCTGCTTCACCTCATCTCGTGTCCGTACTGCTTACCCCTGAGGGAGATGTGAAAAACTGAACGAGAATGAGGTAAGTTTTAACTAGGGCCTAGGCTTAGGAGCCTAGGCCCAACTTAGGATGTCGAGCGGGTTTCACCTAGGGGAGGAGATCGAGAAAGTTGGAAAGATGAAAAGTGATGTTCACTATAGGTTCAAGGAACATATAGTATAGAAAACAAAAGGGTGCACCACCTAACAAAGTTTGCAATAACTACACTAACTACAGCTACAGGCAGTTACAAATATAATTAATATAAAGTCTGACACTCCCCCATAACTGCCTGCAGCAGAAGTTTGTGCAGAACACAACTTGCACGGGTACACAAGCAACACAAGCAAGATATAAACCAAGCAACAGCAGGTACAGCAGGCGGGCAGACACTAACTGGTCACCCCCTCCATCACCTCACCCTCCTCCCTCCCCTCCCCCACACTGCTGCAGGAGCAGCAGAGAAGGGGGGGAGAGAGGAGAGGCGGAGGGACGGCTGCTGGTTGCCTCACACCCGCCACCCCGGTGCCAATCCCCCTTCTCCCCCACACCCTCACACCCTCCCCCCCAGCGGCAGCTGCAGCAGTGGGAACAAAAGGAGGAGGAGGGGAAGGGAAGGAAACGTCCCAAAGCTCCAACACCCGCCACCCCCATACCCTCCCCCCCACGGCTGCAGGGAAACAAAGGAGGAGGGGGTGGGCGGGTAGAAAGCCGCAGAGCGGCTACCATGTGTCGAGGCAGGGAGGTAAGGGGCGGCTGTAGTTAGAGCAGGTGCGGAAAGGCCCGTCGCTTGCCACGGGGCGCACGACGGGTAAGAGCACCGTCGCTGGCGCCAAAGGCGGGTCCGCGACGGCTTAGTGCACCGCCGCAGGCGCCAAAGGCGGGTCCGCGACGGTTTGAAGCACCACCACGGGCGCCAAAGGCGGGTCCGCGACGACTAAGAGCGTCGTCGCAGGCGCCAGAGGCGGGTCCGCGACGGCTAAGAGCGCCGTCGCAGGCGCCAGAGGCGGGTCCGCAACGGCTAAGGGCGCCGTCGCAGGCGCCAAAGGCGGGTCCGCGACGGGTAGAAAGGAAAAACGTCACGCGCCCGAGGCGCGTGACCAGAAATCCAGCAGCGGAAACGTTGGGCGGGCCCACAGGCCAGGACGAAACTGCTCTGATACCATGTGAAAAACTGAACGAGAATGAGGTAAGTTTTAACTAGGGCCTAGGCTTAGGAGCCTAGGCCCAACTTAGGATGTCGAGCGGGTTTCACCTAGGGGAGGAGATCGAGAAAGTTGGAAAGATGAAAAGTGATGTTCACTATAGGTTCAAGGAACATATAGTATAGAAAACAAAAGGGTGCACCACCTAACAAAGTTTGCAATAACTACACTAACTACAGCTACAGGCAGTTACAAATATAATTAATATAAAGTCTGACAGGAGACCCGGATGCACTTGACATCCCGACTCCGCGCTCTTACGCGGAGGCGATAGAGGGTCCCTACTCCTCTCTGTGGCAGGCAGCTATGGACACAGAGATGGCTTCTTGGAAGTCCACAGGCACCTACGTTGACGAGGTTCCCCCGCCAAGGGCGAACATCGTCAGTGGCATGTGGATTTTCAGGGTGAAGCGGCCGCCGGGTTCTCCGCCTGTCTTCAAGGCGCGTTACGTGGCTCGTGGCTTCAGTCAGCGGCAGGGAGTTGACTACTTTCAGACCTTCTCTCCCACCCCGAAGATGACCACTCTTCGGGTACTGCTGCACATAGCTGCTCACCGCGACTACGAGCTGCACTCTCTTAACTTCAGCACTGCTTTCTAGCAGGGCAGCCTGCACGAGGAGATCTGGCTGCGTCGCCCACCTGGCTTCACTGGGTCTTTTCCTCCTGGCACCCAATGGAGCCTCCGGCGGCCAGTCTACGGTCTCCGCCAGGCACCGCGTGAATGGCACGACACACTGAGGACTACACTTGCGGCTCTTGGGTTTGCTCCTTCTACTACCGACCCGTCGCTGTTTCTGCGCACCGACACTTCTTTGCCGCCGTTCTACATCCTCGTGTACGTCGACGACTTGGTCTTTGCCACAGCTGACACTGCTGGACTCGCCCACGTGAAGTCGGAGCTGCAGAAGAGACACAAGTGCACAGACCTGGGTGAACTGCACAGCTACCTTGGCTTGCAGATCACCCGGGACAGAGCACGCCGCACCATTACCCTGACTCAGTCACACATGGTGCAGCAGGTCCTTCAGCGCTTCGGCTTCACGTACTCCTCGCCTCAGGCCACTCCTCTGCCTACTCGCCACTCGCTCTCAGCTCTGCCTTCGGATGAGTCCGTAGAGTCGAGTGGCCCATACCCAGAGCTTGTTGGCTGCCTCATGTACCTGATGACCTGCACACGACCTGACCTTGCATACCCTCTTAGCATTCTAGCACGCTATGTTGCTCCTGGGAGAAACAGACCGGAGCACATGGCTGTAGCGAAGAGGGTGTTGCGCTACTTGTGCAGTACATCGGGCATGGGGCTTGTGCTTGGAGGGCAGAGTCCAGTGGTCCTCACTGGGCACGCAGACGCTTCTTGGGCTGACGACTAGGCTGCGCAGCGGTCGTCACTGGGTTACACGTTCAGCCTTGGTTCCGGCTCTGACTCGTGGCGGGCTACTCGCTCGTCTTCTGTTCTCGGCTCCAGTTGTGAGGCTGAGATCTACGCCGGGGCCATGGCTGCACAGGAGCTTCGCTGGCTCACCTACCTGCTGACTGACCTCGGAGAGCCGCCTCGTTCTCCTCCAGTGCTGTACGTAGACAACAAGGCCATGCTGGCCTTGTGTCGGGAGCAGAGACTGGAGCATAGAACGAAGCACATTCCTCTCCGCTACTTCCTTGCTCGTGAGCTACAGCAGCGTGGTCAGCTGCGCCTTGCGTACGTGGCCTCTCAGGCCAACACTGCTGATATCTTCACCAAGGCACTTGCGCCTTGTGATCATCAGCGCTTCTGTACTCAGCTGGGTCTTGTGCCTACCTTGCCTCACTTGCTCACCCCTTGACCTTGTTTATACTGTTGCATATATATATATACACCTGCTCTTGCTTGTCTAGCCTTATATATACATGTAATCATGCATGTGAACTGGCCTTGTGGCCTTGAACTTGTGCTCGGAATGTGTGGTGACTTTGTGATCCACCCTGAGCTTGCTTTGCTTTGCTTGACTGGTCTTATGACCCCTTGTTCTCCCCCACTTTGCCTATGGGGGTGTGTCAGATTTATATGACATAGCTACTGTAGGCTATAGTGGGATAGCACATATGGGGTACAGCTTTGTAGGGTTTGTACTTGTACCCAACTTTCCCTTAGTCATTTCATTCCTCGTTTCTTCTCAGGGGGGTAGTGTAAGGAAAATCTCTTCTTCCTTCGCGTCCCTGCTCAACGCATACATCAGTGTAGCACCACAGTTAGCATCGTTACCACTCGCAATCCTCGCCTCGACAATCTGCCCGCCACCTTTGCACGTCGCACCTCGACCTCACGGCTCGGCGGGTAACCCGCGCTCCGGGCCTCCGCTTCGACACTTTTCCCAACCCCAGTCCCAGGCCCGTCGCGCGACAACCACAGTCCATTACCGTTACCACTGTAGTTTCGCTATATATTCTTCGCTCATGCCTTCGCTCATTGTACTCTTGCTTCGATAGTGCAATTCTCGTTCGTTCACTCAATTGCACTCGTAACACAGTACGTATACAAAGCACTTAGCGTATCATTTTCGTGTCAGCGTTGTATCGCTAGCCATGTCCCGCTTGACCATGACAAATGTCATTAACATCATGTACGATGAAACTATTTGAGACGAATCCGTTTTGAGGGAAGTTTTTCTTGTGTAAAGACTAACTGAAACTGGGTCATATTGGTTTCCCCGCCCACTTTCTACAGATGCGCAAACCAGCAAGCAGCAAATGTTGGTTTGGGGAAGACCTTGATGCTGACCTGACACTTTAATCAATGGCGGTGGGAGTTGTCTGAGTGAGAAGCGCCAACGACGACAGATAGTGACAGTACCCTTTTAGAATATGATTGTGTGCGTAGGATACACCTTCCTCTCACCCACCACATCCCGAATCTAGTCCAGATTCACGAGACAGGACCTGGTGAGATCAGCCCGAGGAGACTTCCGATTCGACTAATTAGTAAATTCGCCTGACAGCACGACTTAGATCTGCCAGAGTACTGACTGTGCTGTCCTGAGCCAGCAGAGGCTGATTCTGACAATCAGTCCACTCACCCTCCCCCTCGTTTACACCGTCGCCGTGAATGCATAAGTCGGCCATAGTCGCAGGCAGGAACGCTTCTTAAAACGTTTCACTGCTGTGGTCAGCATCACAACTGTACCATACCTTCCCAGTCTCATAGTTCCCTCGGCATTAGAACCGCCGGTTCGCCTATCTCCACACTTCGAATCCGTCGGCCATGTCGCTCGACGATGGACCCGATGGCCCTCTCGAGCACACTCTCCTCGTCGTTCGCGAAGTCTCCGTTTACAAAATACCTACGCGACAGTCGTCAGGTGGTTACAAATGCGCGGAGTGGCTCGTCGGCGACAAGATTTGGGGTGGACGCCTCCGCGTAGTTTCCGTTGGCGACACGTGTGAAATTCGCCTGGAGGACAGTAACACTGGCGATCTTTTTGCCGCATGCCACGTGGCGCCTGGTCGACGCGACGCGTCGGTCGAAGCGGCGACGGACAGCTCGCGATACTTCGTGCTTAAGATCGACGACGGTCGCGGCCGTCACGCGTTCATCGGGCTCGGATTCGCGGAGAGAAACGCAGCTTTCGACTTCAATGTCGCTCTGACGGATCATGAGAAACATGTTCTAAATGAGAGGCAAAGAGCCTCGGATGTGGCATCGGGGGAAGCGGATTCTGCGCTAGAAGATTCTCAGCCGAAACTGGACCTAAAATTGAAGGTAATCCGTTATACTATACTTATGTATTGCATATGCCTCCATTGCAAGAGACATTGTTAGTCCTGCATCTAGCTGCTGAAATTGTTCTGAAAAACGTTTCATATTTTCACGTTTCCATTTTTGTTGGCTCATTCTTATTATATTTCCTTTCCGATGTGCAGGAAGGCGAAACCATCCGCATCAGCATGAAGAAACCATCATCGTCGACATCATCATCATCATCATCATCTTCCTCCTCTCGCTCTTCCTCCACCTCATCTTCATCAGGCCGGGTAGCCATTCTTGCTCCCCCTCCCGGCAGCAAAAGCAGCAGCAGCAGCAGTGGCATAGCTCGCCTTGCTCCTCCTGCTGGCTCCTCATCTCGAACCTCGGTCTCGGGAGGTTCTTCAAGCACAGCAGCAGCTGCAGCAGCGGGATTAGCAGCACCAGCAGGCGCAGCAGCAGCAAGAGGAGGGGGAAACCCGTCTGCATCAGGTGTATCAGGAGGGGGAGGTCAATCAGGAGCATTTGCCGACTTCTCCCAACTTCAGGTACGTGCGTGGCTGTTATTGTTTAAAAAACTCCAAATCCAGGGTCGACACTCTTGGCAATGGTAGTGCTAGTTCCTTTCACTCATAAATCAGGCCAGATTCGAAACTCTTGCTTCTTTGTTGAATTCTTTAAATTTCACTCTCATCCCACACGAGTGGAAACATTGACCAACTGCCGTGCGTCCTTCTTGCTTGCTTGGCTGTCCCATCCTGGCCTGTACCGTGCTCTCTGTCTTTCAGTCATCCCTCCCACCAGCAACTCAGCCTGCTCCATCCAACCCACCCTCAAGCACCAACGCCCCTGCAGCTGCAGGCTGGGCCACCTTTTAACACCAACGAGGGTCTATTATCACAAATTCCCCTGAGACCTGGGCCACTCATTTCAAGCAGCCCTGCCAGCCCAAAAGGCTTGTATCTATGGACCACAGATCATCCATACGAGTTCTTCCACCAATTATTGTCGGTGTACAGTACATAATGGATCTTATTTTCCAATTTTGGTCAGGTACAGTACCGTATGTCTGACTAATAGGGGCTCAGCAGGGATTGCTTTGTGTTGCTAGCATACCGCGGCTTGTTTTATTCATGCCTTTTTACAGACCATAGCCAGGAATGGGACATTGAGGGTGCAAATCAGGTCCTTCCGTCTGCGCTCCCATGTTTTATGCTCTTTTACGAAAACGCCACAGCCAAAGCATGTACTTCCATATGTGTGACTGTCTAGCTTGTGCTATGAGCGATGGGACAGTCACACCTCCCTGGAAATTACACATGACCCTTTCTGATGTGGTGCCAGGCTGTGCGCAATAAGGCAGGGCACTGTACTAGTACTATGGTAAGTAACCTGTATCGCAAAGTTACACTATATTATCTACCCCATAAATACAGCGCCTATATTCTCAAGCCACATAAATACAAAATGAGTCTCTAGTCTCTTGTACACTATCACATGTCCTTCCAAATGTGATAGTCCGTGTCGGGATGGGCGGGGTCCCACTCCGTATCCGCACATGCGGACAAAATCAGTGTACGGCCTTGCTTGTCCACATTCTCCAGCGCGTGCGCCCTGCCAGCTGGCCCTGTGAAGACCGCCACGTCAGCAGCATCCAGCATCACCTCGGCATAGCCAGCTGGCAGCGAAGGATTCTCGATCTGCAGTGGGGGAGAGGGCGGGGAGGTGGGCGGGGGAGGAGGGGTGGGGTGTGGAGGGGGAGTCAGGGAAAAGTTCACCTCTGCATAGCCGGCCGGCAGGGATGGAGGAGAGATGGAAGGAAAAGGAGTAATGGAGTTGAGAAGGAAAGGGACAAGGAGAATGAGGTATACCGTATGGCAGAAAACAGTATCCTATTATATTTGGGCGGGGAAGGGGGGTGAGAGAGAGAATAGCAACGAGATAGTCTGTTCTGGCAGTTTTGAAGAAAGTATACATGCGCACTTACCCTTGCGTCTAATATTGGGGCGCCAAAGATACCCCAGCATATAATAATCCTCACCCCAAATGAGGACGACTCGCTCTTGGTGTGGTGGCGGTGCATATCCAAAGCATACCATGTGCTCCTGTTCCGTTAATACTATAACTAACATAAACACACATCGCAACATGTAACTCAGGCTTTGAAGAGACCACATACTCACCCGGATTCGAGCGTCTGCCCCCCAGATGAGAAAAGACTCGCTCTTAGTGTGGTGGCGGTGGTTTCCTCGCACCTTCCCCGGGCCTATCGTGCCGACATGCACGTCCACACATGACTTGGCACCTGATGGCGTGGGATGAGGTGGGGTGGGATGAGGTGGGGTGGGATGGAGTGCGATGGATGATCTAGGGATGTGCGAGATGGCATAGAGTGGCATGGGGGTAAGGGCTGACATGCAACACATGACTTGGCACCTGATGGGAAGTGTGGGATGGGGTGCGATGGAATGGGATGGGATAGGATGGGTTGCGGTGGTGTAGGGTGGAATGGCATGAGATGGGGATGGGTGGGTTGGCATAGTGGTATCGTGCCCACATGCTCGCCAACACATGGGATGGTGGAATAGGGTGGGATGGGATGAAATGGCATTGCATGGCATGGAAGTGGATGGGATGGAATGGCGTAGGATGAGTGAAACGCAAGTGCATTCTCAAATAACGGAAAGATATCATGTGGTGACTTTTGAGTCGACTCAGAAATCACCTCAAAACGCAAGTGCATTCTCTAATAACGGAAATAAATTATGTGGAAAAAAGCCTGCAAGGCTGGGAAACACGGCCCCACAACCCACCTCCCTTCCCCCCCCCCCCTCCCCTCCCTTCCCACCCTTACATTCTACCCATCCCTCTCAGTCCCCCGCATTTCCACTCCCCCTCCCCCACAACTCACCCCCCAGCCCATGCTGCGCGGGGGCGGGCATGGGAGAGAGAATCCACCCGCGCACATCGCTCCCCACCCCAATCCCTTTATCCACTTCGCTCCCCCGACCACCTTTACCCTCCTCATACACCCCAGTCCCCCTTCCCCCTCCCGCCCCTTTCCTCAGAACTCACCCCCCGGCCCATGCTGCGCGGGGGGCGGGCATGGGGGAGAGGATCCATCCGCGGATTCTTCCCCGACCCCCCTTAGCTTCACCCCCCCCTTTTCCCCCTTCCGCCCCACGCCCCTCACTCACCCCCCAGCCCGTGCGCCGCGGCCATGTGCATGGGGGAGAGGATCCATCCGCGCACGTCGCTCCCCGGCATCCCCCCCGCCAGTCTATTCAGCCGCACCAGATTCGCTTCCTCCTTCTCCCGCCGCATCTCCGCCTCCCGCGCCTCCCCCATTCCGCCTCCCCCCGTTCCGCTTTCCCCCGCGTCTCCCCCGCCCGGCTGTTGAATCAAATCGGACGGCTCGCGGCTCGTGGCATTTGTCGTGGTGTAGACTAGGCATAGGGTGAGGATTAAGAGGACGCAGAGCGCTTGCGCCGCGACGCGGCCATTGTTTCCGAAGAATGCGGAAGGTAGAGAGCTGGGCGCGGCGGAAAAGGCTCCGCGCGGGTGGTGCGAGGCGGACGGCATTGCGCGATGTGCGCAGCGAAATGCGGCTTTGGCAAAATGCAGGCGCAACGCAGCCGAAGAATTGGGAATAATGTGGCGAAACACTCTTACGAGAAATGTACTGATGACAGAGAGGTAAGGTGAGAAGGCCGCGGTGAAAGTGGAAAACTACCCTCGGCGAGTTTCGCAAGCGCAGGTGGAACGTTGGGCGAGAATCGTGGTGGAGGAGAAGAGGAAAGAACTGAGGGCAGAATGCGAACAGTAAGGAATTTCACAACCTGATTGTACTAGGTCGAGTAGATGTTTTCACGTTTAGAAATGGCTAGTGCGTAGTATTTGACGGTGAGGTACGGTGGAAAAACCAATCTGGACATCCCAACAACCAGCAAGAATGAGGGGCGTGATTAGGTAGGCGAATTACGAAAAATGGCGTGCTTGGTCTCCAGCATCTGTTACGAATAGGTATGATGCGCAATTAGATCATTGCAATATCCAAAAATGCAATTTGCATGAGACATTAGTTAGCGTGTTGTGGAAAAAATATGCATGAAAAGCAAATAAAATTGCAGATGGGTTAGCAGAAAAGTATCACATATCACGCTGGTTCCTATGGCAACGTGACTAATACCCTCAGCTTTGAAATCTGCCTGATTGTCAACTTCAAGTCCGCTTCTGAAAGAATGACATGATGCTTCCTTGCCCCTTCTTAGGACCCCCTTTTCCAGCAGCCTTCCCACCACCCTTTGACGCCCCTTTCCCTGCCCCTGCAGCAGCTGCTCCCTTCCCCTGCCCACCTCCTTTCTCTGCTCCCTTCCCTTGTCCCCCTCCTCTCTCTGCTCCCTTCCCCTGCCCTTTTCCTCCTTTCGTGCTCACTGCAGAAGCCTTGGCTGAGTGTCTGCTATGGGATAGCGGAAGATAGACACAAGAACCCCATCAAGACACATACAATGGCACTTCAGCAGAGACATTGACCTTGAATAGCACTTCAGGAAGGAAAATATCCAGTCATGACACATATACACAGGATCGATATGATATGATATGATACGATACGATACGATACGATACGATACGATACGATACGATACGATACGATACGATACGATACGATACGACACAATATGATATGATATGATATGGTACATAAGGTAGAGCTGAGGCAAACTGATACGGTAAATTGATAGGAAGACAGAGAGGCTGGCCGAGAGGCAGACGCGAGAAGGATGAGGGGGAAGAGGAAGGAGCAGCTGAGGGTCGTAAAAGGGGAGAGCATGGGATGATAAATGGAGGGCTTCGAGGAGCGTCAGACGAGGAAGGGAGGCGAGTTGGACGATTCTTAACCAGGCGATACCTTGAGCTCTGCTTCGGCCATGGGATGACAGATGGAGGGCTCCTCTGGTGTGCTGCAAGGCTCCCCTCCCCCCATTCCCCCATCCCTATTGACATAACCTTCCCCTCTCCCTTCACCTGCATCGCTATTCTCAACAGCACCTTGAATGGACAGACCAGGCCAGACTAGGCCAGGCCAGACCAGACCAGACCAGACCAGACCAGACCAGACCAGACCGGACCATAGCGGACTGGACCGGACTGGACCGGACCGGACCGGACCAGACCAGACCGGACCAGACCAGACCAGTTGCCATACCTGGTGCTCTGCTTCAGCACAGGCTCCTCTGGTGTGTTGGAAGGCTCCCCTGCACCTATCGCCCCATCCCTATCAATGTCGCCTTCCCCGTTCCCTCCCCCCTCCCCTGCATTGCCGGCATCTGCTGCCACTTCGTTCCCAAACTCGTCCACCTGCACCTGCCGTGTGACTGCAGCAGACGTGATAGAAACGAGAGGGATGGAGTGCTGAGTAGCGGGCAAGCAACGCAGTATACCACATGCCTGCATCCCTCCCCCCTCCCCTGGTTATCGATTTACCGCTTCATAACAGAGAATATAACAGCAACGAGAGTGATACCGGGCTGATGATTGGGCAAGGCAGCACAAAAAACAAATGCAGCTTACCGTCCCTCACCTTCCCTCCCTCCCTTACCCCCCCTTACCTTCCCTTACCCTCACTTGCATCCTGTAACCCTTCCTTACCTTCCCATACCTTCCCATACCTTCTCTTACCTTCCTTATCCTGACTATCATCAGGCAATCCCTCACCTTCCCTGCCTCTGTCGTCAATATCAGTCTTCCACACCATCCGTCTCTCCCCACCTCCTCCCCTCCCCTTCATCCCGCCAGCCGCTTTCGGAGTAAGCCTCACTGCACACTCCACCACTGCCATCATCTCCTCCTCTTTAACCTCTTTCTCCTCTTGCTTTTCCTTTTCCTCCCTTTCCCCCCCATCCCCCTCCTCCACCTCCTGCTCCTCCTTCTTTCTTTTCTGAGATCCACCTTGCCTTCGCTGCCTTTTTTGCTCCTGATCTTTTTCATCACTTCCTTTCCGCCCTTTCTTCATCAGCCGAATCGATTCCACACCAAAAGCTCCTCCCTCTGCTGCTTCATGCTCTCGCTTCACCTTCACTCCCTTCTCTTCCTTCCCCTCCTCAGACGCCATCCCTCTTTTGAGCCCGTCCTGTTGCCCCCCACCAGCCTCACTTAACAATGCAGCCTGCTCCGGTTCTTCCCCTACCCCTCCTCCTCCCTTCCCTTCCTCGTCTCTCTCTTCCGACTCCTTTTGATCCCTCTCCTCATCTCCTCTCCGCCCCTGTTTCATCAGCCTAATATCCTCAGCTCCAAAGTCTGCTCCCTCTTCCTCTCCCTGCTCAATCTTAACCTTCTTCCCACTCTCCCCCTTCCCGTCCTCCTGGTTCTTCCCACTGTTGTTCAAGCTTGTACCCTTCCCATCCTTGCCCATCTCAATCGGAGCACCCTCCTCTTTCCCTCTCTTCCGCCCTCCGCTTCTCAGTTCCTTGTCACTACGCTCATCATCTCTCTCCTTGTCACTACGCTCATCATCTCTCTCCTTGTCACTACGCTCATCATCTCTCTCCTTGTCACTACGCTCATCATCTCTCTCCTTGTCACTACGCCCTTCATCTCGCTCCTCATCTCGCTCCTCATCTCGCGCATCACACAACCTGCCTCCCTGCTTCTCATCCTCCTCAACTCTTCCCTCTTCCGCCTCTTCTTTAACACGCGCTTCTCCCTCCCCTCCCTCCCCTCCCTCTCCCTCCGTCCCCTCCCTCGCAGCATCAGCAGCACCAGCAATGCCATCCCCTCCAACACAGCTTCCATCCACCCCAGCAGCCCCCTCACTCGTCCTCTGCGGCTTCACATCCTTTTCCACCTTCTCTACATCCCCCTGTCCTTTATCTATGTGTCCAACACCCGCTGCCTCTGCTTCCTCTTTTTTCATCTTCACCTCATTCCCCTCCTTCCTGATCTCTTCTCTCCCTCCCTCTTCCTCCACCTCCTCGTCCTCCTCATCCTCCACTGCAAATCGCCGCTTCTTCTTTGCACCCAGCCTTCCCAACCGCCCACCTGCCCCTCTTGAGAACCCCACTCCCTCTTCCTCCTCCTCCTCCTCCTCCTCCTCCTCCTCCTCCTCCTCCTCCTCCTCCTCCTCCTCCTCCTCCTCCTCCTCCTCCTCCTCCTCCTCCTCATCACCACCACCACCACCACCACCGCCACCACGACGACCACCACCACCATCGCCATCAACAGCCATACCAGCACCAAGGACAGCATTACCATTAACATCAGCTGCTTTAGCTTCTCGAGCCTTTTCAGCTCCTTCTCCCTTCACTTCGCCCTGAGGTTTTGATTTCTTCCACATGCCCATGAGAGTATTCTTCTTCCCCTTGTCAGCAACACCAACCCCACCAGAAGCACCGCCAGCACTAGAATGCTTGGCCCCTTTATCCTCTCGCTTGCTGGCAGCTGCAGCAGGAGCAGTGGTAGTAGCAGCAGCAGCAGCAGGAACAGCAGCAGCAGGAGGGGGAGGAGGCACAGCTGACCCCTCCCCACTGCCCTTCAATCTCTTTGCATCTAGCTGGCCCGCATTTCCTGACTCGCCTAGCGCCGCAGCCCCTAGCAGGCCTGGCTTCACTGCCCCCACGGGTTCTGCGTGCTTCGCTTGCCCCCCTTGCTGCACCGGCGGCTGCTTGCTTCCTTCCCTCTCCTGCTTGATTCCCGATTGAATCGCCTCTGCTTCCGGATGCTGCCCGTGTTGATCTTTCTTAGCGGCACCAGCAGCAGCAGCAGCAGCAGCAGGGGGAGGAGCAGCAGCAGCAGGGGGAGCAGCAGCAGCAGGAGAGCGGGAGGGCACGGAGGAGGCAGCAGTGATGTGTGCGGACGGGTGGGGCCGCTTGGAAAGCGTTTCCAGGCAGATTGGTGGGGGCTGGACAGCACTCAGGCTGCAGGGGAGGAGAGGGAGAGAACACAGACGGTGGGGGAAAAACAGGGGAGGCAGCAGTGGTGTGTGCGGACGGGTAGGGCCGCTTGGACAGGATTTCCAGGCAGATTGGTGGGGGCTGGACAGCACTCAGGCTGCAAAGAAAGAGAATTAAGATAAGGAGGGGACGGGAGGGGAACACATATGGTACGGGGAAAAGGGTATGCAGCAGTATGTATGGGGCGGGAGGGGCCGTCTAGGAAGGATGGATGGATGGGGGCTGGACGGCACACACACCTGCTCACACACCTGCTCACACACCTGCTCACACACCTGCTCACACACCTGCTCACACACCTGCTCACACACCTGCTCACACACCTGCTCACACACCTGCTCACACACCTGCTCACACCTGCTGACACACCAACTCTCACACCTGCTCACATATGAGTGCTTCAGTCACAGACTCGCACTCCCACACAAACCTGCTCTCTCTTACACCATTACCCATGGCCCCATCGGCGGCACACAGAACAGCCAGGTCGCGCGGTAACCGCCGCTGCACACTGTAGATGTGGGCCGAGGCTCCCCCCATTGCCTCCTGTGCTTCTGCGCAAATTTCACGGGCAGGTGGGGCAGGGGAAAGAGTGCCGGAATCAGGAAGGTTGTCTTTGAACCATCTCCTCTACCTGCTTGGTCACATGGAACATGGAACACAGCTTAGATGAAAAAGAAGGATGTTTTTCTTCTGCCATACGAAACAACAAGGGGAGAAGAGGGCAGCGATAACCCGTGGGCCGTGAGGCGCGCAGAAGTACGGAAGTCCTTGTGGCGATTTTTTCTGAAATAACTGCTTGAGTTTAGAAAATCTCAAGCCAGCAAGAAAAGGACAGGGATTACCGGCGAGGTGAGCGGAGGGCACCAGTCGCATGCGGAATTCCTTCACCATTGCTGCTTCCGCTCCTGCGCCTCTCGCTGTCGCTCCCCCTGCAGCTCCTGCTGCCGTTGATGCTGCTGCTGCTGCTGCCGTTGCTGCTGCTGCTGCTTTCACCCCATCCCCGTTACAAACCCAGCCCGACACCACCCATACAGCAGTCACCTCCTCCTTGTGCTGCTCCCAGTAACCCTGTAACACACTGCGTGGGCGAAGAGGACCAGCACAGGGTGACCAACAAGGGTAACCACAAATGGTAACCAGCACATGGTAACCAGCACAAGGTAACCAACACAAGGTAACCAGCACAAGGTAACCAACACAGAGGTGGGGGACGAGCACAAGGAAAGCACAAGGAGAGGAGGTGGCGGAAAAGGGTGTGGAGGCGGGGAGAATGGCGGAAAGGAGGTGGCGGAGGGGAGAGTGGGGGTGGGGAGTTATGGAAAGAGAGAGAACGGCGGAAGGGGAGAAACGGGCAGTAAGGAGCTAGGCCGCACCTTTTTGCTTGGCGCAGAGGCAGGGAGAGGGAGCGAGAGAGGAACTTCGCGGTGACCTGGGAGGAAAGGGAAGATGAATCGATGGAATCCGTGGCTTGGAGAAATGAAACGCCTCAAAAGCAGAAACGTGGATGATAAATTGGACGGCACGGAGCGCGTACGAACGTAACTACGTACGTACGCCTCCGGTTCATTGCCTGCAAAAGAGTGCGAATGGAAGGCTTGGAGGAGTTTCAACCTGTAACACCAGGTACACTCAGAGAACCTATAAAAAATGTGAGACGCGTCAGAATAGGCGAAGAAACGGATTGATTCGGACTAGTCCTGATAACTCAGATAGTCGGGGTAACGAACAAATGTTGTGCTTGCTCGAGCCCAAGATTGATGCATTTAGAAGACCACTTTAATCACATCCCTCTCCTTCTCGGTTGCCATTTGAAAGTGATGAATTCTAATCTAGCTATTGGACTCACCACTCGCTCCTGATCCTTCACCATCGCATCGATGTCATCCAAAACGCCTGGATCCATCGCAGCGAGCTCGGCGGGGGCCGCCATTCAATATTTCAATAGACCGTACTAACACAGCGAAGCATGCAGAGCGAAGCAAAGCGCACACTTTCGCAGCATGCTGGAAACGGCCAGAATGATAGCCATTTTAGGCTGAAAAACTCGTGGATTTTACCTCTGAGGCCAGGCGGGGAAAATTTCAAAAAACACAAATCAGTACCCTTTCTCCGATACTATTTTGACCGGCAGCTTTTGTACAGCAACATTGTTCCTTTAATAATGATTGGTTTGTCTGTTAAAAGCAGTGCAATCTTCAGAAATTAATGATATCATATCCATAAAGCTTTCTGGATGTTGCTACTCCTTGGGTGCAAATCCAGGAAGGGCTGTCAAGTACCGTATAGATGGTACCTGGACACATTAGAAGAGCGATATTATCTTAGTATTATGGTGTCGAGACTAAGGCAATGATGTTTTGACTAAGATGAGAATGATACAAGAAGGAAAACCCTAAGGGGTTGTACTCTACAGTGTGCAGCCCACTACAGCCTACCCAAATCTAAAACATAGATATATGTTTGACACACCCCCATAGGGAAAGTGGGGGAGAACATAGGGTCACAAGACCAGTCAGGAAATGCAAAGCAAGCTCAGGTTGGATCACAACGTCACCACGCAGTCTGAGCACAAGCAAAAAGGCCACAAGGCCAAGTCACATGCAGAGATATATATGAAACAACAACATCGCAGTGATCTCTACATACGAGAGCAAGCAGGGAGGTATATATATAAATCACAATACAAGTAAAGCCTACAGCAAGTAGGGAAGTATGGGCACAAGGCCTAACAAAGTACAGAAACGCTGATGATCACCAGGCGGAAGTGCCTTGGTGAATATATCAGCAGTGTTCGCCCGAGTGGCCACGTAAGCAAGACGAAGCTGGCCACTATTAGAAACAAGCAACAGGCATGGATGAACTATGAAAGGGTTGGGTACAAGTATGAAACCCTAAAAGGGGCTGTACCCCATATTGGCTACCCCACTACAGCCTAAACTTATATAGCATATATATACTTTGACACACCCCCATAGGCAAAGTGGGGGAGAGCAAGGGGTCACAAGACCAGTCAAGAGAAGTAAAGCAAGCTTAGGGTGGATCACAACGTCACCACAAACACTGAGCACAAGCAAAGGGCAACAAGGCCAGTTCACATGCAGAGGGATATATGCAACAACAGCAGTACAGTGATCTCTACCTAGCAGAACAAGCATGTAGGTTATATATATATATATATATATATATATATATATATAGATCACAGTACAAGCAAAGTCTACAGCAAGTGAGGAAAAGTGGGCACAAGGCCTAACAAAGTGCAGAAACGCTGATGATCACCAGACGGAAGAGTGGCCTTGGTGAATATATCAGCAGTGTTGGCCCGAGTGGCCACGTGAGCAAGACGAAGCTGACCATGCTGCTGCAACTCTCGAGCCAAGAAGTAACGCAGAGCGATGTGCTTCGTTTTGTGCTCCAGTCTGTGCTCCTGACACAAGGAAATGGCAGCCTTGTTGTCGACGTATAGCACTGGAGGAGAACGAGGCCGCTCTCCCAGGTCCGTCAGCAGGTAGGTAAGCCAGCGTAACTCCTGTGCAGCCATGGCAGAGGCGTAGATCTCAGCCTCACAACTGGAGCTGAGAACTGAAGATGAGCGTGTAGAACGCCAAGAAACTGAACCAGAGCCAAGGCTGAAGGTGTAACCCTGTAACGACCGCTGCGTAGCCTGGTCGTCAACCCAAGAAGCGTCTAAGTGCCCAGTGAGGACAACGTCGCTCCGTCCTCCAAGCACGAGCCCCATGCCCGATGTACTGCACAAGTAGCGTAGTACCCTCTTAGCAGCATCCATGTGCACCTTTCGGTGCCGACTAGGAGCCACGTAGTGAGCCAGAAGGCCAAGAGGGTACGCAAGGTCAGGACGAGTGCAGGTCATTAGGTACATGAGGCAGCCCACTAGTTCTGGGTAAGGACCACTCGGCTCTACGGACTCGTCCGAAGGTGGAGCTCAGAGCGAGTGACCTGTCGCCAGAGGAGTGGCCTGTGCCGAGGACCAGGTGAAGCCGAAGCGCTGAAGGACCTGCTGCACCATGTGTGACTGAGTCAGTGTGATGGTGCGCTGTGCTCTGTCCCGGGTGATCTGCAAGCCAAGGTAGCTGCGCAACTCACCCAGGTCTGTGCACGTGTGTCTCTTCTGCAGCTCCGGCTTCACCAGGGCGAGAGCCTCAGTGTCAGGAGTGCCAAAGACCAAGTCGTCGACGTACACGAGGATGTAGAACGGCGGCAGCGAGGTGTCGGTGCGCAGAAACAGGGACGGGTCAGCAGTCGACGGGGCAAACCCAAGAGCCGCAAGAGTCGTCCTCAGTGTGTCAAGCCACTCACGAGGCGCCTGGCGGAGACCGTGGACTAGCCGCCGGAGGCTCCACTGAGTACCAGAAGGGAACGACCCAGTGAAGCCAGGTGGACGGCGCAGCCAGATCTCCTTGTGCAGGCTGCCCTGTAAGAAAGCTGTGCTGAAGTCAAGAGAGTGAAGCTCGTAGTCACGCTAAACAACAACATGCAGCAACACCCGAAGAGTGGTCATCTTCGGGGTGGGGGAGAAGGTCTGGAAGAAGTCAACTCCCTCTCACTGACTGAAACCTCGTGCAACGTAAAGAGCCTTAAAGAGAGGCGGAGAACCTGGCGGCCGCTTCACCTTGAAAATCCACATGCCACTGACGATGTTTGCCCCAGGAGGGGGAACCTCGTCGACGTAGGTGCCTGTGGACTTCCAGGATGCCATCTTTGCGTCCATGGTTGTCTGCCACTGAGAGGAGTACTCACCCACGATCGCCTCAGCGTAAGAGCGCGGGGTTGGGATGTCTGGTGCATCCGGGTCTCCCTCACGGGCAAGCAGCATGGCCACGAGATGAGGCGCAGCGGCTGCAAGACACTTAAGGTCCTCCTGCTTGTCCTCAAGGACGTCCGTGCCAAGAGCACACTCACCCCCGACGGACGGAGGACAGACAGACTTAGACTCAGCAACAAGACTAGCAGCGTAGTCTAGACGACATGTAGCAGCAAACTCAACAAGCTCAACGACTAAGGCAGACGCAGCAGCAGACTCAAATGACGGGTCGGCGACAACATCGGCTAGCAGACGCGTTACAGTAGGGTGCTCAGCACGAAACTGGTCAGACGCAGGGTCAGGAACGATAGGTAGAGAGTACGCAGGGGGAGACGGCAGGTGAACACGCGGCGGCGGAGAGGAAGGACGACGGACTACAAGGGAAGGGCCGGGGACAGCCGGCTGAAGCTGACGAGGAACAGGACGACTGGAACGACCCGAACGGACAGGTGAGACAGGACGCGACGCAGACTCACGACGCTCAGCAAGGCCCCTATCTACTCAGCTTAAGGAAAAGGAGCAGGCAGAGGTGAGCCAGGCTGTAATGGAAGACCAGTAGACGACGGGAGGCTAAGAACCTGGCAAAGCACGGAGTCAGGCGGTGGCAGAGATGACGGAGACGGCGGAGCAAAGAACAGGCGCGGCTGTGCAGTGCCACCAGCACCAGCAGCTCCAGCACCCTCAGCAGCTCCAGCACCTCCAGCAGCTCCAGCACCCTCAGCAGCTCCAGCACCTCCAGCACCTCCAGTACCCTCAGCAGCTCCAGCACCTCCAGCAACTCCAGTACCCTCAGCAGCTCCAGCACCTCCAGCAGCTCCAGCACCCTCAGCAGCTCCAGCACCCTCAGCACCAGCCCCACCTGGTGCAGCACCCCCAGAACCGGCACCTCCAGTCCCAGGGTCCGGTGGTACACACAAGTAACAGTCACCCTCAGCACCAGCGAATGCATACATAGCAGCAAGAATAGCCTCATAGTCAAGATGAAAGATAGGTACATCACGCCTAAGCAGGTCTGCCCAGTTGGGGAACTGAGGAGCATCAGGAAACTTGACGCGCCAGGCGTCACTAAGTCGAGCGAAGCAGCGCAGCTCAGTGTGAAACCCTGTGCACTGGCGACAAGCGCGGGGACCTGTGCGAATGATATAGGGGCAGCAACCAGGACCCCCAGAAGCCCCACACCCGGCATACCAGTCAAGAAGCTGCTGGGAAGTGGGGGTCTGGCGCTGACGTTGCTGCTGCTGCGGCTGCTGCTGGCCCTGACCACCACTGCCACCACCTCTCCCTCCTCCCCCACCGCCGCTGCTGCCACTTCCACCGCTCCCAGTGCCTCCGCCGCTCCCACCACCACCTCCACCACCTCCACCACCTCCACCCCCACGACCACCTCCACCACCTCCACCTCCCCCACCGCCTGCACCACCGCCACCTCCACCGCCACCCCCACCTCCCTTGCCACCCTTGCTGCCCCTGCCGTTGCGACGCTTCCCACTAGGAGCGGAAACAGCCCCGACCTCCTCAGCACCAAGGTAGTCGTGAGTGGCAGCTGCGGAGGCGTAGGAGGGGGTGAGAGAGGAGGGGTAGCACCCCTCAAAGAGGGGAGAGCGAGGAGTGCCACGAGCAGCACCTACAGCGGGGATGTTCTTCTCTACTACGAGGAGGTGCTTCTCGAAGTCGTCGACAGTGAGAGTGGTGGGGTCTAGCACTAGGAAGTGGTCCCTGACGGAGCTAAGAGTGTTAGGGAGGCGGGTGACGAGGAAATAGAGAGTGAAGTACATCGGGGGGGGGTTTGCGGCGCAGAACTCGGCTGAAAGGGCGGCACGAAAGCGAGTGTCAGTAGCACGCATGTGGGAAATGAGGTCCTCAGCAGTGGTGAACGAGGAAAGGTTGGGGAACAGGTAGGGTAGCATGAGCCGACCTATGGCTGCAGTGGCCGGGGAGGAGTAGCGCGCAACTACAGCGTCGTACAGCGTCTTAGCAGTTTTGTGCTGGCTAAAATGCGCGCGCTCACTAATCGGCAGATGGTTCCTAATCGCTAGGCGTGCAACAGCATCGCGAGTCTGCCACTGCGAGCGTTCGAGAGCAGGAGCATCGGCAGCAGGACCAACGGCAGTGCCAGACACATAATCGAACACTTTGGCATCGGTTAGAAGGAGTTGGAGGTCGTCTAACCACAGAGCAAACTCTTTGGGGCGACCGTTAGGCTCGAACGCGAGAACTTTAGGCGTCGTCATGATGGCAGCAGGCAAAGGCAGTAGGCAGCAGGCAGCAGACAAGAGGCAGTAGGCACCAGGCCGCAAGCAAGGATAGAGGCAGCAGGCAGGAGGCAGGAGGCAGCAGGCAGCAGGCAGTAGTGGCCGCACGCAAGCTCCTAAAGCAGCGCGCTAGGTAGCAGCGGGCCGTGCAGGCGGCCGACGTGACGCACAGGCGGCCGACGCGGCGCGCGGCGCGGCGGCGGGCCGCGCTGGCGACAGACGCGGCGCGCGGGGCGACGGCGGGCTGCGCGCGGCGGCGGGCTGCGCAGGCTCGACGCGGGCTGTGCGGGCGATGCGGGCCGGCGCGCGGTGCTGCAGTAGTGGCGCGCGCCAAAAAGTGACGCGCGCGCAAGCAGGCGAGGCGCGCACGAAAAAAAAAAAAAAAAAAAAAAGTAACGCGCGCGCGTGAGCAGCCGAGGCGCGTGCGAGCAGCAGGCAAGGCAGGCAGGCAGTAGGTGAGGTAACACAGTTACGGGTGGGCCCTATTCTTAGGTCCTAGAGACCTCCTGCTGTAGATACCATGTCGAGACTAAGGCAAGGATGATTTGACTAAGATGAGAATGATACAAGTAGGAAAACCCTAAGGGGTTGTACTCTACAGTGTGTACCCCACTACACCCTACCCAAATCTAAAACATAGATATATGTTTGACATTATGGTTGTATGTTAGGTGTGGTGATAAGGTTTTTAACATATACTAAGGCGTCCCATATGCATACACACTCTGAATTGACTTGACACTAGCGATCCCGACACATTCACACAGTCATGTGGGAGTGTGAATTGGTTTAGATGCATTTCTAGGCAGCACGATACCTCTCCTGCCTACGAGGCTACCACGTGGACGTCTTGAATCAGTCGATCGGCAAACTCTAAGTGTAACGTAACATGCGACTCGGTGTCAAGAGAAGAAAACCCTGGCACGAGACCTGGTTCAGGTCAATCTCTCGCATTGTAGTATTGGCAAGCAGGGAAGCCAACACTCGCCATTTGAAACAGAAGCAATCTGCCTTCATGCGTCACTGCGCCGTGCCATCCCTGCTTTTGGAGATTCGTCTTTCCAAGGTAGGGGTGACGGACAGAGGGGAGGGAGGTGGCTTGCCACGACGGGCTAAAAAAATTGCCGAGAATGTTTTACCATACACAATGCCCCACAACTGTTCTTAATTCACAATGCATGGGACTTGCTTACATTACACTCCCAGGTGAATGTCCATCCACCTAGTAGGCAGAAACAAACGCTATTGTATGTAGCAGAAGCAGTCGCAAGAAGATGGCGTCATTTTCTATTCAACGCAAAACCATAACAAAACACCCTAAAAGCTTGAAAACACAAGACGTCGTTTACTTGCCGTCTCCCACTCACCACCCCCACAACAGCAGGACCTCGAAAACGCTATCACGGGCCACCACACCACTTCATTCCAGGTTTAGTGCAGTGAGTCTGGTGCAGCATACAAGCTCTCTTCAGCATGGTATATCTCAACGCCCCGACTACATCCAGGTTAAAAAACGACGCGGCTCGGGAAAGGGAACGCCACCCCTGCGCCATCCTGTTCGGCTAACTGGGTGCACGTCCTGGGCGAGGAGCGTCACCCTCCGTCACCCGGCAATCCCGATGAGAGATACCCCGATGGCACCTCTCAACGGACCCTCCGTACGAGGTCGACACGTCCACGCCGCCGGTCGCGGCCAGCGTGCCACGACGTCCTGCTCGCCATCGGCGCGGACTGCGACGTGAGGCCCACCGCGATTCCTGGCCGACCACTGCTCTGGCGCGCAGAGCCAGACGTCGACCATCCGAAGCAAAACGTTCCACGCGTCGAACATCGGTCGGCGAACGGCTGTCCACGCGGCGACCAAGCCTTCGTCGGCCTGCTGGCGGGAACATGCCCGCGGGATACCATCGTCGGACGACGCGATGAGCACTGCTGCGTCACGCCGACGTGTAATCACGATTCAGCGTGACGGGAACACCGGATAGTCGGCTGCGAATATGACATGCGTGCCCCATGCCACGTCAACCATTGCGCCACCGTTCTACCGTGCATGCAGGGTTGGAGACCTGCCCACGGATCGCCCGCCAACACCTGTCCGCCGAACCGCGACGGTGGCACTCTATGCTATGACCCACCGACGGCCAAGTGTCTATGCCATTTCAAATCTTGTTTGTTGCGTTGCATTCCCTTTCATTCTAGTGAGCCACATTTCCCTTAGTCATTTTCACGCTTCTCTGAGGCCGACCGACCTCGCGTGGTGCAGGGTCGACGACGAGCCACGCCGGTGTACGAGTGCGTTTAGGTCGGCAAACTCCACGGGCTTCCGACTTAGGATCATTCGCGGTTTTAGACTACGATGACTAGCTAGGTCGACAACATCCGAAAGTGGCCGACCTCTTTCTTCGTACCCTCAACCAGTATTGTCATTGCCATTAATCCCCAGTACGGCCTCGAATGGCCAGGGACCAGTCTAACAACGACCCGCCGGACAACACCCCAATGAACAACACCCCGACCAACAACACCCCCCCGCCCACCCCCCCCCCCCCCCCCCCCCCGAACAACACCCCGCCGAACGACACATTGCCACTTAACACCCCGCCGACCACAATCACTCCGAACATCACCCACCAGAACACCAATCCGCGGCCTGAAGCTCCAGAACTGTCCGACATTGCCGCGGAGTTGACAATCGCCGAGATCGCTGAGAGGGCCGAAAGACGGGCGGTCATTGCCACAGTGCGAAGGCAATACACAGCAGCGATTGTGCAGTATCGCCTTTGGTCGGCTGAACACCTACCGCCGCGAGACCGCGGCGACAACTAGAAGCCGATGGGAACAACTTTACCCGCCGACATGGCAGGCGTCACGCCGCCGGTGGTGAACAGCGCGATTCCCGACCTGAACGAGCCTTACTTGGTGGTCGATGTAGACGCTGCTAGGGCAAATATTCCCGCCGACCCTACCATCCCTCTACCGCCAGGAACGAAAGGGGCTCCCCAACCCGAGCCGGACCTGTACTCGCCTTCGGCCACGGAGCAGCCGCCGCCGATTGGCCCATTTCCCGAAAACAACATGGAGTACTTGACCATAAAAGATCTGTTGGCAACCGATGAAAAAGACGACGACTTTCTGCATAACATCCCGCGCTACGATTTTGCGGAAGCCGCCTTCAACATCAACAAAGAGCTCGCCAAGAAGAACAGATTGGTGAGGATGATGTGGGGTATGCGGCATCTGGACACGCTGGAGGCGAGAACGACCCGTGTTCAATACCTGCGGGCGCTGCTCGACTTCAGGAGATGGTGCTGCAAGGAACTCCCAAGACAGCAAACCGCCAGATTCAAGGGGGGCGCCGTGCTGGAGCACGAGGACGAGATATGGAGGTACATCGACGATGACATGGGTGATCAGTGGCACACCGCCAAGGACGACCTTCTTTGGATGCACGGTCCCCGCGTCAACGCCACGCGGATCAAGGCGTACATTCTGTCAATCGTCAATCGCGTACATTCCGCTCAGAGGTGCGCGCGATGGTCAGAGAGAAGTGGCACAGGGACGACAGGTAAGTCGCCAAGTCGTCCCACGCGTTTCACACCCGTTTCCCTGTTCGCTCAGCTAACCCAGTCCTCGTGGGAATTGATATGCAGGGATTGCGTCGACCGGCACCGCGGAACGCTCGGCGACATGTACACCACCGACCAGATCCGCCACCTCATGTTCAAGGTCTTGCCGACCTGGGCGGCTCGGGCGTACGAACCCAAGGCGGCCACCCCCTCCCAAACGCTGTGGAAGTTCCTGCTGATGAAGACGATGACTCTCCTGGGTCACCACACCCTTCTCCGCGAAGCCAGAATGGGAGCGATCGAGCTCTCCGACTTGTTCTTGTACAGAATGGGGAGCGTGTCACCCGAGCACTCCACGCGACGACCGGTTGTCATGGTCATCGCGTCACAAAACTCCAAGACGAACAAGGATGCTTGTCTGCACCACAGCTACGCGGCGAGACACCTGGAGCAGGAGATGTGCGCCGTCGGCCACACACTGTTGTGGCTGCACTTCGTGTACGACCAGCTGAACCGCTCGCCGACCTCTCGATGCGTGCCGCCCCTCGATTTCAGTACTCCGTACATGTGGTATCACAAACACCTCTTTCATGCTCGGAACGACAAGACACAAAACAGCTGTCGGCTTCATCCCATTCTCGGATCACGAAGGAGATGTGGCGGACGAACAAGATCTTCATCACGCGCAACACCCACGCCGCCCGGGAAGGTGGGGCACAGGAGCTGGCCGACGACGGCGTTCCGCGATCTGACATCGCCGACTTGGGCCACTAGGCGCTCGACAAGCTTGCGAAGAGCTACATCACGACCATCCCGAAGGCAGCGGTGTTGAGAAAGGCCGGCTACACGGGCAAATGCGGCGACTACCACCTCGGTCGGAGCATGGTAAAGCTCGACGACAAGGTGGTGGCCCTCATCGCCCAACACATCTTTCCGTGGGCGGAAGTGGAACTGGTCAAGGTGAGTAATTCAGACGGCAGAAACGCCGACAACCCGCCGACCATTTCCACGCCGACATTCCACCGGCAGTTGATTGTGTTTGTGTTTTTGTTCGACTCGCAGGCGATCAACTGCGCATCCGCGAGAGAACCCAACACGGCCGGGGTGCACTTCTTGCAATCGCTCATCGAGTTCGGCCGCCGAATAGTCACCGATGATCTTGCGTGCATGCTGATGCGCGAACCATGGCACCCGTACGTCCAGAGTTCCAAGCTTTGCCGCGACCCCGACTTCCAGAAATGGGCCAAGGACGTCAACCGGGTGGACCCCGAAACCATCGCCACGCGCTGTACAACGAGTGAGAACCCCCAAGAGGTACGGCGTACGCGTTCCGGCGACCTGTAAAACGAGTCGTCCTGCTACATTTGCTGACCGTTTGCCGACCATCCCCCTTGGATCGCAGGAATTCAGCGCGCGAGTCGACGCCGAACATCAGGTCAACCAGCTCACCATGATGCTGCACCGCCAGAGGGAGGATGTCGCGATCGAGAAGCTTGAGATGCAAAATAATTTGGAGGAGAAGGACGCGCATATCGCGAAGTTGATGCAGGCTCTCCAGCTGGCCGAGGCACGGCCGACGCCGACTGCGCCGGCACCGTCAAGGCCGATGACCGACGCCGAGAAGGTAGCGGCCATCAAGATCAAGAAGGAGCAGGACGATGACCTCGCGTACGAGGTGAACGTCGTGCACCCCTGGTGCACGTCCAAGACGGTCGAGGCTGCCTGGCGCTGGTGGAACAACCCGTCGCACGTGGACGCGCGGCCTTTGCGCGAATGTTACGCGGAGCCCAGATTCCTCGTCCGACACAAGTGCATGATCTGCAAGGTCGAGAAGGCCGACAAACCCGCAGCGTCGCCGAAGTCGGCGCAGAGCTCTCGGGGCCGAAAAGCGCCGACCGACGATTCTCCCACCACCGCAGTGGGAGAATCGGGGAAAAACGATGCGCTGTAGCACTCCACGCGCCGGATGAAGCGGATCATGGAAACCGTGCACCATTTGCGGCGGAGCGACAACGACACTGACACCGCCGCCGTGGTCAAGCTACTCGACCACCTGGGGCGGGCGGGTCTTTCTTATTTCAGCGACGCTCTCATGGTCCTCCGTGCAACCACGCCCATGCAGATCCCCACCACAGCCGTCGGAAAGCCGACCGGCATCAAGGGTCTGGACAAGCCGCAGCATAGGAAGCTGACAATTGCGTGGGGCGTTGTATCTGCGGGCTACGCCGACCCCGATTGGGGAAAGACGATCTTCGGAGACTTGTAGGAGGAGCAGGCCAAGAAGGTCGGCTTGGAGGCCGGGGCGACCGCGGGAGCGAGAGCGGAGAGCTCCGGCGCTGGGAAACGCAAGAGGGCGGGCTGAGGGTAGTCCGTCCGTGTGCGACTTGTGGGGCGTGCTGAGGGTGGTGCGACCGAGGGTGGGCTGACGGCAACATGTGGGCTGAGGGCGGGTTGAGGGGGGGCTTAGGGCGGGCTGAAGGCGGGCTGAGTGTCTCCGACATGTTTTTGTTTGTACTATTGCCAATTATTGACCGACTACTTGTTCAATTTTGTTTCTCTTGTAAATGCATCAAACCGACTTCACAAGGAAACCAACGATCATGTTCAAAACACAACTACACAACAACACGCACAAACTACCTTAACCAAAGTCGGAAAGCATGCAACGTTTGCACCAAGGCCGACCACGACAACAGCAGTCGAACCAGGGTTCGTCGACCTAGGCGTCGGCCGCCTGCTTCCCTTTGTGCTGCCCCCTCGCCCCCCTGTCCCGAACGATCACCTTCATCCCGGCGTCAAGAGGCAAAACGACGCCGCGCGCTTTGAATTTAGGGCCGCCGACACAGCAGTCCCCCCAGAAGGCGAGGTTCTCGATCATGACACGGGCGATCAGATCGTCGTGTTTGCGCTCGTCCCCGTCCTCAGGAAGTGACCTCAGCACAGCGCCTTGCAGGTCCTTCGTCACCGTGTCGGCGACCTCTCCTACGACGACCTCCCGGGTCGACGCCCGTTGAAGCACCACCTTGATGACGCTCTTACACCTCTTCGCAAACTCGGGGGACGTACCGCGTACGGTCGCTGCCGCCCCCCCTTCGCCGGCCGCTACTTCCGTCGTGGATCTCGGATAACCGTTCCGACTCGACGCCCGAAATGGGCGTGACTTTCGCGGCCACAGGTGCGAAGGCGGCACACATCGAAACGCGTGCGATCATGTCGCTCGCCATCTTATTCTTCGTGGCCTTCTCGGGCTCGGTCGACTCAGGAAGGTCGCCGAACCACACCGCCGGGCGAAGAGCCAACATGAGAACTACGCGGTCGGCGTCGGTTATCCTGTTGTATTCCGCGACCACCTCCTGGAACCTGCGAAACACAGCAGCACGACCCACCGTCACCGACCGACCCACGCGTACCGACCGAAACGAGCACCTACTTGAGCATTCGCCAAGCTTACCTGTCACGGAAGACGTTTGCGCCTCGGCTCCACATGACCGTCCACATGCCCCCCGGAATCAAGCGCGCCACATTCCAGTCCGCCTTATACTGCTCCATCACATCCTCCTTGACCCCATCGAACTCGTCGCGAATCACCTCGCTGACGAAGCCGTCGAACGACGAAATGGCGACAGCGATGCAGTAGGCGGCCTCGGACTTGTCCATCGACCGGCAGATGTAACGGCTTTTCTTCCCAAACTTCATCTCTGACGTGGCCAGCCCGCTCTCCTTGTCAACGCGGACGCCTGAACCCTTCCGACCCTGCGTGGCCGCTTTGGACGTCCCCTTGGAAGAGCCGGCCTTCGCCGTGCCGCCCTTGCCCTTGCGCTTCTGCTTCCCGTCGCTGACCTCGCCGGTTGTGGCCGGGGAGGATTTGGCGCCAGCCGCGCTAGGGTCCTCCGCAGGTGCAGTCGAGGCGGCGGGTGTTCCCTGTTGCGCTCCCACAGTGGGAGCTGCTGCTTGTAGTTTTCCCGCATGACCTCAATTTCCCGGTTCGGCATCACGATGCTGGCGAGGATGTCTTCGTCCACCCCACCGGCCTCTTCCACCACTCTCCACACAGCCGCCTCCACCGTTGAGGCACTCGGCCATGCAGTCGCCGCCGTGACGTTCGGTGCCTCTGCTCCTTGGTCGACCGCCTGGTTGGTGTGAGTCGGAGGAATTTCCAGGGTTTTCTGACCATGATCCTCGATCCATTTCATATACTCGTCGAGCGATGGCCTTCGACCGATTAGAGCCTCAACCGCCTGACTCTCAACAGCCTTAGGGATCGGGATCGGTTCAGGGCCGACCATGGCCCCATGAACGGGTAAGCTGGCCGCACCAGCAGAGCCCGTGGTAAGCGGAGGCGGGTTTGACAGCGACGAGGTCGCATGGGCAGTACCCGATTTGGTCAGCGCTGCTGCCGTCGTCGACACGATCACCGACGTGGCAGCCTCGACCGCGCCGCTGGGTAGGACGCCTGTCGCTCGCTGCTCGGGGCGGAAAGACTGGTCGGCCAGCTGTGCCGTGACGCCAACCGGTCTCGCGCTACTGACACTCGCCGGACTCGTCGCGGTGTGGGGATGCTGGCCCGCCCCGGCCAGCTCGACATGCTGTCCGACCACCGCTGCTGGGCGCAAGAGCTCGTCGACCACCGCCGTGACGCCACCCAGTCGCGCGTCTTGTGCGGTCGCCGTGCTCGTCGACGGGTGAAGATGGTGGCCCGCACCGGGCGGCCCGCCCTGCTGTCCGACCACTGCTGCGGGGCGCAGAAGGTCGTCGGTCAGCTGCGCTTTGATGCCGGTCGGTCGCGCAGTCGGCGTACTCGTGGACGGCTGAACATGCTGGCCCGCAACTGGCTCCCCGCGCGGCTGGCCGACCACCGCTGCGAGGTGCAGGAGCTTGTCGGCCATCCGGGCCATGCCGCCGCTCGGTCGAGCGCCTTGTACAGTCGCCGGACTGGCCTCGGGCTGTGGATGCTGGTCCGCCAATGGCTTCCAGCCCTGCTTGTCCCCAACCACGGATGCCTTTTGTCAGAACATATCTATAGCTTATACTGCTGTGTAGGCTGTAGTGGGGTATCCCATAGGGGGTACAACCCAGTTAGGGTTTCATATTTGTACTGCTTTCATTCATAGTTCACTCATTCCTGTTTTCCTACTTTCACATGGTATAGAGCGGGTCCTACCTTAGGACCGTTGTCTGGGCCCACCGACGCGCGCCCCGAGGCGCGCCCTTTTTTTTAGCGACCCCTCGGGTCGCCTTTTCACTCGCGGCCCCGCCGCCTCCTCTGACGCGGCTTTGCCGCCTCCCCTGACGTGGCCCCGCCGCCTCCTTTAACGCGGCCCCGCCGCCTCCCTTGACGCGGCCCCGCCGCCTCCCTTGACGCGGCCTCGCCGCTTCCCCTGACGCGGCCCCGCCGCCTCCCCTGACGCGGCCCTGCCGCCTCCCTTGACGCGGCCCCGCCGCCTCCCTTGACGCGGCCCCGCCGCCTCCCCTGACGCGGCCCCGCCGCCTCCCCTGCCGAGGCCCCGCCGCCTCCCCTGACGCGACTCCGCCGCCTCCCCTGACGCGGCCCCGCCGCCTCCATTGACGCGGCCCCGCCGCCTCCCCTGACGCGGCCAAGCCGCCTCCTCTGACGCGGCTCCGCCTCTACTGCCGACGGCCCCGCCGCTGCACTCTACGGCCCGCCGCTGCACCCTGCCGGCCCGTCGCTGCTCCTGCCGGCCCGCCGCTGCACCCTGCCGGCCCGCCGCTGCTCCTGCCGGCTCGCCGCTGCACCTACCGGCCCGCCGCTGCACCCATCGGCCCGCCGCCTCTTACGGCCCGCCACTTGCACCTGCCGGCCCGCCGCTGCACCTGCCGGCCCGACGCTGCACCTGCCGGCCCGACGCTGCATCTCCCGGCCGAGCCGCCCCAACAGCCGAGCCGCCAGGGACCCGAGCCGCCCTGCCGCCGAGCCGCCCGGGAGCCGAGCCGCCCTGCACCCGAGCCGCCCAGCCGCCGAGCCGCCCGGGAGCCGAGCCGCCCTGCACCCTAGCTGCCCAGCCGCCGAGCCGCCCGGGAGCCGAGCCGCCCTGCGCCCGAGCCGCCCAGCCGCCGAGCCGCCCGGGAGCCGAGCAGCTGTGCACCCGAGCCGCCCGGTCGCTGAGCCGCCTTTCTGCTGACTGCACGACCTGCCCTGCCTGGTGAGCACTGTCCCACTGACACTGCGAGCTCTTTCCCTACTGCTTGCACTGCGTCGCTGTCGTCACCATGGCTACCCCTAGTGTCCTAGCTTTTGACGCTGAGGGTCGCGCCATTGATTTTGAGGTCTGGTTGGACGACCTGCAGCTGTTCTTACAGTGCGACAGGGCTGACGACCTTTCTCTCTTTGACCTCACCTCTGGCGCCTCTCCTGCCCCTGCTGCTGATGCTGATCCCGCTGTCCGCTCTAAGTGGGCCACCCGCGATGCTGCTGCACGTCTTGCTGTGCGTCGCCACCTCCCTACCCCTGAGCGTGCGCACTTTAGTCAGTACAAGAGTGCTCAGACCTTGTACGACGCTGTAGTTGCGCGCTACTCCTCCCCTGCCACTGCTGCACTGAGCCGTCTCATGCTTCCCTACCTCTTTCCTGACCTCTCTGCCTTTCCCACTGTCGCTGACCTCATTACGCACCTCCGCACTAGTGACACTCGCTACCGCGCCGCCCTTCCTGCTGAGTTCTGCGCTAAGAACCCCCCCCCCATGTACATCGCTCTCTACTACGTAGTCGCACGCCTCCCTGACTCCCTTCGCGTCGTCAGGGACCACTTTCTCGCAGTCTGTCCCACCACTCTCACCGTCGACCTCCTCGAGAAGGCCCTCCTTGCAGCGGAGAAGAGCATAGTCGCTGTAGGTGCTTCTCGTGGTGACCCTCGCACCCCCATCTTTGAGGGGTGCTCTCCTTCCCCCTTGCTGCCCTCTGTTGCCTCTGCTGCTGCTGCCGACCTGCTTGGTCTTGAGTCGGTCGGCGCGGCGTCTGCCCCTAGTGGGAGACGTCGCTCCAGCAAGGGCAAGGGGGGCAAGGGCGCGGGTGGAGCTGGAGGGGGCGGTGGCGGTGGCGGCGGTGGCGGCGGAGGGAGTGGGGGTGGCGGCGGGGCTAGTGGCGGGGGTGGTGGTGGTGGTGGCGGCAGCGGCGGCGGAGACGGTGGTGGTGGTGCCAGCGGTGGTGGTGGAGGCAGCGGCGGAGGTGGAGGCGGCGGAGGTGGAGGCAGTGGAGGCGGCAGCGGAGGAGGCAGTAGTGGTGGAGGAGGTGGAGCTGGTCGGGGTGGTACCCAGCAGCGTAGCGGCGGTGGTGGTGGCCAGCGCTCGCACCGGCAGCAGCAGCAGCGCTCGCGGGACATCCCTTCGCCTCAGCAGCTTCGTGAGTGGTACGCTGGGCGTCAGAGGGGTGGGGGTACTGGTCCCTGCACCTACGTTCTTCGTTCCGGCGACCGCGCGGGTGAGCAGTGTGGGGGTGCCCACGCCACCCAGCGCTGCTTTGGCCGCCTGACGGACGCTTGGCGTCAGCAGTTCCCTGGGGCTAGTGAGATCCCTCGCTGGGATGAGCTTCTCAGGGCTGGTGTAGCGATCTTTGATCTTGATTTTGATGCTATCCTTACTGCTATGTATGTTGTGGATTATAGTGAGGAGAATGAGGGTTACCGGTGTTTTCAGCCCGACCCGGGCATTGGTACTGCTGCACTAGGTGCTTGTGAGGCTGCTGCTCTAGGTGCCAGTGCGTCTGCGCTCTCAGGTACTGGTGAGACTGCGCTCTCAGGTACTGAGTCGTCCTCGTCCTCCCTCACTTTCACACTTGACTCCGGAGCTTCGCGCTCCTTCTTTCGAGACCGCACTACCCTTTCGCCGCTCGCCAGGCCGGTTGCGGTCTCCCTTGCTGACCCCTCTGGGGGTCCTGTCCTGTCTCACTTCTCCACTGTCCTCCCGTGTCCGGCTGCCCCTTCGGGCACCCTGTCGGGTCTGTACCTTCCCTCGTTCTCTACGAACTTGGTGAGTGGAGCGGACCTGCAGGATGGGGGTGTTCACCAGTTCACTCCTGCGCGTCAGAGGGTGACCCACTGCACGGAGGCTCGCACAGGCCGACACCTGGCCACGTTCTCACGTCGGCCGGGGTCGAGTCTCTACACCCTGACCGTTGAGTCTCCTCCTGTCCCTGCGTCTGGTCAGGTGGCTGCGTCGAGTCAGGTACTTGCTGCTGCGTCCCGGTCAGGTCCTGAGTCTGCCCCCTGTTCTTGTCGCCTCCTGTCTCACGAGACTCTCCTGTGGCACCACCGTCTTGGCCACCCCTCCTTGCCCCGTCTTCGGAGCATGGCTTCCCGTGTCCTTGTCTCTGGTCTTCCCCAGTCTCTCCCTCCTCTCCCCTCCGGGCCAGGACCTTCCTGTGTCCCCTGTGTCGAGGGTCGCCTCCGGGCTACTCCTCACTCCTCCCACTTCCCCCCGACAGAGTCTCCCCTGCAGACGCTTCACATGGATGTGTGGGGCCCAGCCCCCGTCCGTGGGCAGGGGTACGAGCGCTACTTCCTGTTGGTGGTTGACGACTACTCGCGTTACACCACAGTCCTCCCCTTGCGCAGCAAGGGTGCAGTCACTGAGGTGCTGATCGACTGGATCCGCGAGGCTCGTCTCCAGCTCAGGAAGAGCTTCGGCTCGGACTTTCCTGTTCTGCGTCTGCACTCTGACAGAGGCGGAGAGTTCTCTTCTCGCCTTCTGCGAGACTACTGTCGTGCACGGGGGATCCGCCAGACCTTCACGCTTCCGGACTCACCACAGCAAAATGGGATTGCTGAGCGCCGCATTGGCATGGTCATGGATGTCGCTCGTACGTCCATGATGCATGCGGCTGCCCCCCATTTTCTGTGGCCGTTTGCGGTGAGGTACGCGGCGCATCAGCTCAACCTTCACCCCCGGGTCTCTCGGCCAGCGATGTCCCCAGCCTTGCTGTGGACGGGGAAGGTTGGCGATGCGTCTGTGTTCCGTGTCTGGGGATCTCGGGCGTTTGTCCGCGACTTGTCTGCGGACAAGCTGTCCCCTCGTGCTGCTCCCTGTGTCTTCCTTGGCTTCCCCACTGACGCCCCAGGGTGGCAGTTTTACCACCCCTCCTCTCGTCGTGTTCTGTCCTCCCAGGACGTCACGTTCGACGAGTCAGTCCCCTTCTACCGTCTCTTCCCCTACCGCACTCCTTCCCTCCCCCCTCCCCCGGACTTCCTTGTGCCGGTTCCCCCCCCGGTAGACCCCCTCCCCCCTCAGGTTCCTGCCCCCTCAGGTGTGTCCCAGGTAGACGCCGTTGACCCGGTCGAGGTTACTGGTGACTCTGGTGCTGCTGCGGGTGCTGAGCCTGGGGGTGCTGACTCTGGGGGTGCTGTGCGCGGGGGTGCTGAGCCTGGGGGTGCTACTGCTGGGGGTGCTGGGCCTGAGGGTGCTACTGCGGAGGGTGCGGAGACGGGGGGTGCTGTGCCTGGAGGTGCTGGGTCTGGGGGTGCTGGGTCGGGAGCTGCTGAGCCTGGGGGTGCTGCGTCTGGAGCTGCTGAGCCTGGGGTTTCTCCTGCTGCTGCGTCTCGCCGGGAGCCCCTCTCTCCACAGGAGCTGCGCGAGTGGTTCGCTCGCCGCTGGAGGCGTGCTGCTGAGTCTGGAGGTGCTGCTGGAGCTGGAGCTGGAGCTTCTTCGACCGTCGAGGGTGCGGGTGCAGCCGTTCCCGGAGCTGCTGGCCCTGCGGGTCCTCCTGGAGCTGGAGCTGCTGAGGGCGTTCGTGCTGAGCCTGCTGCTGTTGGTCCTGCCGCTGGAGGTGTGGGTGGCGCTGGTGCTGTCGCTGAGGGTGCTGGTGCTGTCCCTGCTGAGTCTGGAGCTGCCGCGCGGCCTCGGCCGTACTTCGTTCCGCTCCTTCAGCAGGTTCTTGGTCTTTCTCCTCCAGTAGAGGGTCCACCGCCTGTCCAGTCGCAGCCCCTACTGGAGCCTTCCTCTCCGCTGCCTGCTCCCTCTCCTTACACTGGTCCTACTGGAGGTCTTGCTGAGCGTCGTGAGCCTGCGTCTCGTCCCGCGTCGCCTGTTCGTGCTGCTCGCGCTAGTGGTCGCAGTTCGCGTCAGCGTCCTCCTCCTGTCCCTGGCACGCACCGGATGTCTTTACGTCCGTCCACTGCTCCTCTGCGTGCCCCTTTGCCTTCTCCTCCTGAGTCCTCTCTTCCTGCGCTTGCGGACCCTGAGTCGGACTCTCTTCGTGCTGCCAGTCCCACTGTCACGCGTCTGCTTGCTACTGTCGTCACTGACCCCTCTTTTGAGTCCACTGCTGCGTCTGCTCTAGTCGCTGAGCTCGTCGACTTTGCTGCTCGCTGTCGTCTCGACTACGCTGCTAGTCTTGTTGCTGAGTCTGCGTCTGTCTGTCCTCCGTCCGTCGGGGGTGAGTGTGCTCTTGGCACGGACGTCCTAGAGGACAGGCAGGAGGAGTTACAGTGTCTAGCGGCTGCTTCACCTCATCTCGCGTCTGTACTGCTTGCCCCTGAGGGAGACCCGGATGCACTAGACATCCCGACTCCGCGTTCTTACGCGGAGGCCGTAGAGGGTCCCTACTCCTCTCAGTGGCAGGCAGCTATGGATGCAGAGATGGCTTCCTGGAAGTCCACAGGCACCTACGTTGACGCAGTTCCCCCTCCTGGGGCGAACATCGTCAGTGGCATGTGGATCTTCAGGGTGAAGCGGCCGCCGGGCTCTCCACCTGTCTTCAAGGCACGGTACGTTGCTCGTGGCTTCAGTCAGCGGCAGGGAGTTGACTACTTTCAGACCTTCTCTCCCACCCCGAAGATGACTACTCTTCGGGTGCTGCTGCACATAGCCGCTCAGCGCGACTACGAGCTTCACTCTCTCGACTTCAGCACTGCGTTCTTGCAGGGTAGCCTGCACGAGGAGATCTGGCTTCGCCGTCCACCTGGCTTCACTGGGACTTTCCCTCCTGGCACCCAGTGGAGCCTCCGACGGCCAGTCTACGGTCTCCGCCAGGCACCGCGTGAGTGGCACGACACACTGAGGACTACACTTGCGGCTCTTGGGTTTGCTCCTTCTACTGCTGACCCGTCGCTGTTTCTTCGCACCGACACTTCCCTGCCGCCGTTCTACATCCTCGTGTACGTCGACGACCTGGTCTTTGCCACAGCGGACACTGCTGGACTCGCCTACGTGAAGTCCGAGCTGTTGAAGAGACACACGTGCACAGACCTGGGTGAACTGCGCAGCTACCTTGGCTTGCAGATCACTCGGGACAGAGCACGCCGCACCATTACCTTGACTCAGTCACACATGGTGCAGCAGGTCCTTCAGCGCTTCGGCTTCACGTACTCCTCGCCTCAGGCCACTCCTCTGCCTACTCGCCACTCACTCTCAGCTCTGCCTTCGGATGAGTCCGTAGAGTCGAGTGGTCCGTATGCGGAGCTTGTTGGCTGCCTCATGTACCTGATGACCTGCACACGACCTGACCTTGCATACCCTCTGAGCATTCTTGCACGCTATGTTGCTCCTGGGAGACACAGACCGGAGCACATGGCTGCAGCGAAGAGGGTATTGCGCTACCTGTGCAGTACGTCAGGCATGGGGCTAGTGCTTGGAGGGCGGAGTCCAGTGGTCCTTACCGGCCACGCGGACGCGTCTTGGGCTGACGACCAGGCTACGCAGCGGTCGTCACAGGGTTACACCTTCAGCCTTGGTTCCGGCTCTGTCTCGTGGCGGTCTACTCGCTCGTCTTCGGTTCTCGGCTCCAGTTGTGAGGCTGAGATCTACGCCGGGGCCATGGCTGCACAGGAGCTTCGCTGGCTCACCTACCTGCTGACTGACCTTGGAGAGCCGCCTCGTTCTCCTCCAGTGCTGTACGTAGACAACAAGGCTATGCTGGCCTTGTGTCGAGAGCAGCGCTTGGAGCACAGAACGAAGCACATTGCTCTCCGCTACTTCCTTGCTCGTGAGCTGCAGCAGCGTGGTCAGTTGCGACTTGCGTACGTGGCCTCTGAGGCCAACACTGCTGATGTGTTCACCAAGGCACTTGCGCCTTGTGACCATCAGCGCTTCTGCACCCAGCTGGGTCTTGTGCCTGTCTTGCCTCACTTGCTCTCCTCTTGACTTCACTTGTACTGTGACATATATATATATACCTGCTCTTGCTTGTCTAGCTTTATATATATGTCTGTACTCTTGCTTGTGAACTGGCCTTTGGCCTCACTCTTGTGCTCGGACTGTGTGGTGACTTTGTGATCCACCCTGAGCTTTGCTTTGTCTTGCTTGACTGGTCTTGTGACCCCTTGTTCTCCCCCACTTTGCCTATGGGGGTGTGTCAGAACATATCTATAGCTTATACTGCTGTGTAGGCTGTAGTGGGGTATCCCATAGGGGGTACAACCCAGTTAGGGTTTCATATTTGTACTGCTTTCATTCATAGTTCACTCATTCCTGTTTTCCTACTTTCACACCTTTCCCAGGAGCTCGTCTGCCGGATTCGCCTGGTCGCAGCTCGGTGGCGCGTCGTGTGCGCTTGGCGGATCGGTCGGGGCGTGTGGGTGCCTGTCCCCCACGGGTTGCCCATCGGTCTTCCCGACCAATGAAGCTCGATCCTGGAGCGCGACGTCGATCTGTCGAAAATCGGCGCTCGGTCGCGCGCCAAGTCTCTCTTTCAGCAAGTCTTGGACGCCGGGGATACGAAAAAACGGAGCGGCGGGAGGATCCACGCCGACACCGCGTTTCACCGCAGGTCCTCTGCTTCGCTTTGTGGCACTGGTCTACTCGCCGGTCAGGGATTTTTTGTCAGCGACCCTTTTCCCCAACTGCCTTGGCGCCAGCCCATGCTCCTCGGCGGTTTCGCGACCGCCGTGCATCACCGACTCGAGAGCAGTTGGGAGGAGGCTAAACCCGGCAGTACCAAGGCCATGTTGGGTCGCGGAGGTGACCACCTTCACCAGGTCGTCCCTAAGCTCTTTGATGACTTTCGTAGTCACGGCAGCGGCGATCCCCTGCGCCTCGCTCTCCATGGCGGCCTTCACCTCAGCAGACACGACGGTTCTGATCTTCTCGCCAAGAGCATCTGCCACACCTTGCAACAGCAGGACGTCGTCCTCCCGTCGCCTACCCTGTGCAGCAGTAGCCGTCAAGTACAGGGCCTGCACGGTGGGCAGCCACCTCTGGTTCATGAATTCTAGGGTGGAGCCGCGATAGTTCACCGCCTCCTGCTCAACCGCCCTCATAGCGTCCACCCCCGTTTGGAGGCTCCTCCCCAACGTCTGCTCGTGAGAGGTCACGCTGTCGGCGACTGTCGTCAGCTTGTTCACGGTTGAGGTGACCACGCCGAAAAGCGTGTCCATCCGGGCCGTCTGGTACTCCAGCCTCTTTTCCGCCACCACCTTCTCCTCCCTCAGCTTCTTGTTCTCCCTCTCCGCCGCCTTCAGAAGCTCAACGGCCGCCTTCGACGCCATCCTAGTCGGGATCGAGCCACCGCTGCCCCGCGCCTTCTTGCCCGACTTGGGTCCGCTGCCGCTGCTCTTATCCGCAACCTTCTCACCAGCGAACTGTACTGCCTCCTCTTCGCCGGTGACCACGTCGTCATCCTCACGCTCCTCATCCTCCTCCTCCTCGTCCGAGCCACCATCCTCCTCCCCGCCCCCCTCCTTGTCCTCCCTCTCATGCTCCTCCTCGCCGCCATCTGTGGGTCCGTGCCCGCCAGAGTGTGACCCTGCCGCAGCCTCCTCGGCCTCCCCACCCAGAGCGATGCCCGTTCCGACACCACGACCCACGGTCGACGCCGCCTCCCGTATGTTCAACGCGGCCTTCTCCACGTAGTGCACCAGCTCCAGTCGGAGCGCCTTCAAACCAACCAGCTTCGGGTTCTCGATGATGAGCGGATCGTAGCTGCGATGCACGTCGTCCAGATGCTCCAATGACCACGCGAACGCGTTGACCGCCAGCAGCCCCGTGTCGGCGACCTCCGACCTTGAGGATGTCGGGCAATTTCTGCATCAACATCCGAAGCACATGGCGAGGTGAGTCGACGCCTCGACGACGATAGCCCAGGCGACATCGACGTCGGAAACTCACATCACGGATGGAGGCGGCAAGACTCTCCAGACATGCGGAGAGGACTTCGGCGGAAGGAGGCTTAGCCGTCCACTCCCTTCCCTCACGGTTTAACTCCGCCTTCACGCATTCGTCGAAAAACCTGCGATACGAGACGGAAAGGAGCCATCACACAAGGCGGCATGAACGCCGTTATGGAGCAGCGCGACTAGCCGGCGACGTTGTCCCACCTCAAAACGTTGGCCGCCTCCTCCTCGTGCAGCTTGGAGGAGGTCTTGGGGTCGAGGTGGCGGTAGAAGGTCCCGATCTGCTCCTCGTCGGGCAAAAGCAGGTCGCCAGGGCGCACAACAAGCAGCACGCTGCAGTGCCTGCCGGGAAGAGGTCCATACCTGCCCACACAAGCACGACGAAGACATTCAGGATTCTGTCCGGGAACAACAAGCAACACGGTCGCGAGGATCAAACCTCACGGGCGCGGAACACTCACGCAGTGCACAAGGGGTTTGCGAGGGCTTCGAAGCCGAAGGCCGTCCCGAAGACCAGATAGTACGGCTTCGACGCCGTCCTAGCGGCGCGAAGACTCGCAGCGCGGATCAGGGCCACCCTGCCGGCTTTTCCGAGGCGATCGAGCTCGTACCTGGGACAAGCAGGGGCGAAAAGGCGGGAGCGAAACACTTGTGCGTTGAGCTACGATCCATGCCGGGCGCCGGGGTAAAGCGCCGACAGTAAGACAAGCCGATTCGGACGAAGGTTTCGCACGACGGCAACGTCGCCGGCAGCAAGACAGGCGTCATCGACGTAGGGCCCATGGTCGAGGACAAGCAAACTGGTTAATAAGACGACGTGGCGCCACGACGTCCATCGCAGACGGACATCGTCGACCACGCGGGGAGCCGACAAGGCCAATGTCGACCTAGAAAGGACGCCGAAGAAAACGCGCTGAACCCTAAAAAACTAACAAGGCGACCTAGGGATGCGCGCTCACGCGAGGCCGAGGTCGAGGCAAGGTTCTGTGAACCCGGCCTTCTCGTCGCGGAGGACTTCGAAGTCCTTCATCTCAAGCGTCACTATGTACCCAGCGCTGCCTACTGGCACCTGGAGGGGTAATTCGGCCGTAGCCAGTACTATCCTGTTGGTCGTCCCAGGCAAAACGGGCGCGTCACCCCGAAATCTGATGAGCGATTCATATCGATAATCTCAAACAACCTTTTCCAACCTCACCTTAGAGCCTATCACAATGGCGACGATACGCAGAGGAACGACTCGTTTCTCCAGATCCGGCAAAACCTTCGCGACGCTGCTGGTTCTATCATCCCTCCTAGTAGCAGTCAGCCTTTCAGCTGCGAGCCCGTTCCCATCACGCCAGGAGATGATACGGAAGTGCGAAAATGGTATGACCTTGGATAACTGCGGGAGCTACTCGCCTTCTAGCGAGATCCCAGGAATCGCGGGAAGCTTCTTTCGCCACGCTATGGGGGGTCAGCTCATGGAGGAAATCGAAGGTATCGACGGCGGTCCGCAACAGTGCGCCGCAAAGTGCTCACCAGCTAACGGATGCAACTTCTGGCAATACATACAATACATTCCGGGAGACGAGCGAGAGTGCGCTTTGTGAGGGCTGCGAGTTACACGTCGAAACACTGTGTATAGGGTGACATGTGCCCGCCGATTCGACGCTCCGCCGAGGAGAATTGTTCTCATCACTCACGTTAAGCCTCCTAAATCACGTCGCCGTCACCCCTTCTCTTCCTTTGTTTGCAGTCCTCCTACGTGTAACCTATACGCGGGCAAGGTGAATTGTTCGAAATACGTATGCGGGATTGAAACTGGTGCAGCGAACGCGAAGGACCAAGGGCGTATCGGGCCAGGCTTTGCCAACCCTAACGCTGCTAATGACCCGCATCTTGTCGGCGCCCACGGCACGCGCTATGACTTCAACGACCGTCCGGACCGCGCAATCTGTGTGTTAACTGACCGTGACGTCCACGTGAATATGATGCTGCGAGGGTACTATAGCGAGGACACGAGGAACGCCACACTCATTGTGGATAGGAAGGCTGTTCACACATGGATTAAGTGAGTCTCGTTTCTCCTCTTTGGGCCAAGAAGCTTGCCTTTTCTTTCAGCCTACGGCATTCGCAACCTCCTGCTCTCACTCACTTTCTGCGTCTGTCCTTACCCATTCCACGGAACAGGGAGCTTGGAATCGTGTGGTTCACGAATGGTGCGACTTACACCGCGCGACTGGTGGCACGAAACGGTAAGCAGCAGCGACGAGGCGACGGATTCATGAGGATGATTGAAATCGACGGTCAAATTCAGCCGCGCATGCGACTGGGCGACACTGTTCTCCCATCCAACGACACTGGTCTCACGATAACATTCAAGGCGGAAGAGAAAGAAGGGCCGTACGACGTGGATTACTACACTCTTGTAGTCGACGGGCTGTTGTCGCTTGACGTGAAGCTGCGTATAGCACAACCGAGCCTCCAAACGCCAACGGACGTGGAAGTCCACATCAATGTGGGGGTGGCGAAATTTGCGCGCACTGATGCGATTCACAGCGTGTTGGGGCAGACTTTCCGCGCGGACCATGCGCAAAGGGCAGTGGAATTCCAGAAGTTGGTAGCTTCCCTCCACCGCCGCGTTTGCGCTGATGCCGAAGAGGGGAAGGATTTCCTCGACGGTACCTCCCGCTCTTATGAGATTTGCGGTGTACTCTCTACAGACTGCGCATTTGCTGCATATCGTCTCGCGTAACTCTGGTTTATTGAGTAGAGTAATTAGCAGCAGTTTTGTTCTGTATTGCAATGCTTTGGTGGGTAGGATGTTGTGTGATTTCGCTTTGATCTGATACACGAGGTCTCTACGTAGGTATGCCATATGCCATAAACATTCATTAAGACCAGTGTTAACAGTGCACAACTACCGATAATATGCCATGTGCCTACCAGCACCAGCGAATGGATCCACTCTTTTAGGTACATCTCCCCTCTTCTTTGCCTCTTCCACCTCTTTCTCCCTCTTAGCCTTGTCCTCCCTCAGCCAAGGCTCTACCATCTCCAGCAATGATGGTAGTTGCAATGCAGATGGCTTGTGGCTATCAGCAGATTGTTGTGTCGACTGATCAACTGATTCCAGCCGCTGCAACTTGCCAGAAGAGACAAAAGCGAGATGGCTCGCCCAAGACTCCAGACCGTCAAATATATGTGTTGCATACACTACAGTAGCTCCTCTCTGCCAAACGAAAGAGAACAGCAAGGAAAGGGGACAAGAGTAACAAAATCATGACTTCAAAGTCTGCAAGGATGCCAGTACACACATACTACACAATGCCTGCACAAAACAGACAAACATTGTGAGGCTCACAACATACGGTAGTGCAGTAAACTAGCCGCAGTTGCCAACAGTGTGTTATCCCAAAGCAGTTCTGTCCTCCCCAACATGACTGCTAACGAACCCCAGCTCACCTCTTCACATTCTTCTTGGAAGAAAGAGAGGAGATCCATCCTGGCGACAACATCTAGGTCTACTGTCACCTCGTCCAGAAGCAGCACCTGCGGCATGAGAAGGGGTAAGGAGGAGGGAAGTATGTAAGGAGGAGGACATCTGTGAGATAACATTTAATTTTACTGTGACCTCGTCCAGCAACAGCAGTTGTGGCATGTGACAAGGGTGGGAAATATAGGAAGAAAATTCCAGCGTGGAGCCAACATCTAGGTAAAAAGTTATCTTAACCAGCAGCCCCATACACATGTTCACTTGCCTCTGCTATCCACCCTGCCTGCATTGCATACACACAAGATGTCTATATCACCAGCTCCATCTAGTGCCGGCGATTCTGGCTAGGGTTAGGGCTCATCAAACTGAAAGCTCACCTGCAACGCTCAAAGCAGCCTCATGCATACCTGCACTCACCTCCTCCACTAACACCAAACCCGTGGCGCTTACTCCTTAGGATGTCAGATCCTGGCAATTCTGGCTAGAATCAGGGCCCATCAGCAGCAGCTCACCTGAAAGGGTCGCAGCAGCCCCATGCAGATCTGCACTGACCTCCTCCCCCCACCCTGCCCGGGGCGCATGTTCCATAGAAAGTACAGTAAAAGTGCAACTACACTCCACCTGGCTATTTTTTCTTGAACCAAGGCTCATCAGCAGCAGCTCACCTGGAAGGGTCGCAGCAGCCCCATCCAGATCTGCACTCGCCTCCGCTTCCCATCCGGTCCACTGCACGGCTGGCACAAATGCCATACAAGGTCTTAAATTGAACAGCCGATCAACCTCGCAATTCTGGCTAGAGTCACCTGGATAGAGTCACCTGGCTAGTTTCATGGCTCACCTGGCTAGTTTCATGGCTCACCTGGCTAGTTTCATGGCTCACCTGGAAGGGCCGCAGCAGCCCCATGCAGATCTGCACTCGCCTCCGCTGCCCATCTGACACGCGGTGCATGCGCCACGTCAGATCAATGTCCAGCAGCTCCACCAGGTGGTCCCTGCGCGCTGCGTCCACGTCAGCCACGCCGTAGATCATGTGCTCCGCGCTGAAATCGCCTTGCAGAGGTACTTCGCCCTGCAGCGAGGGAGGAAAGACAATCCGGGTGTAAAATGTTGAGGAAGGAAATCAACAACTCTGCAAGGTGGCCCTTGCGTCCACGTCAGCAACGCCGTAGATCATGTGCTCCGCGCTGAAATCGCCTTGCAGGGGAGCTTCGCCCTGAAGCAGGGGAGACATGGCAGGAACAGCACGAATTGAATAAAACAGGAAGAGAGGTGAAACTCCAGCACCTCTACAAGATGGCCCTTGCAGGTTGCGTCCAGGTTGCAGGCAGGCACGGTGTAAGTCGTGAGCTCCACATTGAAGTCTCCCTCCGGAGAAACTTCGCCCTGCAGCGAGGGGGGAAGAGAATCGGCGATGGGCGAGGGAGTAAGAGCGACACTGGGCAAGCGGTGTGCAAGGGGGCGAGAGGGACACTGGGAAAGCGATGGGCGAAAGCATGAGAGGGACGGGCAGAATTATGCCAACTGAGATCAAGTTCTGAGACGTCTCAAAACTAAATTACGCCAACTGAGATCAGACAGTACGAGGTGGGCAGAAGCCTGAGAGTGGTGCTTTGCCACACTTCCACTGAGAGTGGTGCTTTGCCACACTTCCACTGAGAGTGGTGCTTTGCCACACTTCCACTGAGAGTGGTGCAACAGTAGTGGTTTGGACCCTATGGCTTCTGAGAAGCAGCCGTAGAGCGACTGAAAGCTGTGGGTAAGTGTTTCACATTGTGACTTCCGTGAGGCTTTTGAAACTCAACAAGGAGTGTGCAGCTGTTGTCGTGGATTCCACTTTATGGACTCAAAAGTCACAAGGTTATAAATAATCACTGTGCTATTATAAAGAACGGGATCCCGTGAGAGCTAACTCACCGCACAGCCGACGGACTTGCTCCAGGATCCACTGAGGTAGGCGAGAGAGCCATCGTAGGGGCGCTATGTATGCTCTAGCGGGCATCGTCCGTACGTCATACAAGTAGATGCGTTTCAAGGCACACTCACCGCACAGCCGACGGACTTGCTCCAGGAACCACCGAGGTACGCGAGAGAACCGTCGCACGAAAGAGCTGTATCGTGGAATGCCGAGCGACCGAGCACTTTAACGACGTCCTTTCCACCAACCATGTGCTTTCCCGCCAACACTCTCAGGAGAGTCGTCTTGCCTGCACCGTTGGCTCCAATCAGAAGGCAGCGGCTGCCACGTGGCAGTGTCAGATTAAACTTGGAGATTAACGGAGGCTCGCCGGGATAAGCGAACTGCATAGACGTGACTTCCACGGCCGGGACTTCCGGACTCCCCGCATCGGCTGAAGCTATGGTTTCCATATCTATGTCCGCTGATTCCGAACGCTGGGAGCCCTTGATCACAGCGGTTTCACAGCGGTAAACGAGGAAAAATATCAGAACGTAAATACAAAGCTCGAAAGGAGAGACTTAGTCCGAGCGAAGACTTCGAGAATAGATATGTTCTCCTTTCTTTTCTTACCAACAGCTTTTACAACGATAAGCAATTAGGCCGAGGCAGTTGAACTTGTGGCTGCAGTTGAGCGGCTTGTCAATCTCTAGGCTGAAACCTGGATGTCAGTTTCTGAGCGAGGTGGTGAATTTGGCGGGAAAACGAAAGCTGGTAACCACGCATGTTTGATGCCCGAACTCAATCGCTATGTGGTATCAGGTGCGAGACGTGGCGACATAGGCGACGTGGCGACTTTGCGACGTGTCATGGCGATGTGCCGACACCACTGATGGCCCTCGCAAACCGGCTCATTAGTTATTGGCTTAAAAGCATCTTCGATTAACCAGCCGAAGTCAGACATCGACACTTACGGTACAGCTGAAGACTTATAGAACAGAGGTGGAAAATACAAACTTCGTGGTACATTCCAAGAAGGTAATACGAAACCAGAATAACCTCATTCGAGCATTCTAGAAGCGCGCTGCGTTGATTCTGTGACACACGCCAACAGTGCAACCGCACGCCCGCCTCAACGCCAGCGCGCCGCAAAAAACGAACACTTCCACGTCACGTCGGTAGCGAAGCGGGCCTACAAATACCAATCGCTTTTCCGATCTCAACATCCAAAGTTCTTCTCGATCAGCTGTCACTAGCTCTCTCTCGCGAGTTCACGCTCTGAAATACGCTAATTAAGCTACAACCTTTTAGAATTCGGCCTCTTTCATTTGGTCTTCGACACGCACAATGGCTCCCACCACCTGCACCTGCGGCGAGGCGTGCACCTGCACCGTTGAGAACTCCCCTTGCGGCTGCAAGACCGCTGCCGCCGCCACTTGCAGCTGCGGCGAAGGCTGCACGTGCACTGCGGAGAACTCTCCCTGCGGATGCAAGTCCGCTGCTGCTCCCGCCGCTGGCGCTACCTGCAGCTGCGGGGAGGGTTGCACGTGCACTGCGGAGAACTCCCCTTGCGGATGCAAGTCCGCTGCTCCCGCCGCCGGGGCTACCTGCAGCTGCGGAGTAGGCTGCACGTGCACTGCTGAGAACGCGCCTTGCGGATGCAAGACCGCTGCTGCCGGTGGCTGCGGCTGCGCCAGCGGCGGCGAGTGCAAGTGCGGCAGCAGCTGCACCTGCTCCAGCTGCTAAGGCGTTTCCGTTGCCATCTTCTGTTGAGTAACCAAGGACGAAAATTGGCAGCAAAGTGCTCCTATTCTGCCAGCTAGTAGCAAAGCTGTTAGTTGTGTGTAGTGAAACACTGCGTATCATGTGTACAGACATTTTTCAGTGCTACTTTTTGTCCGTGTCTCACCCGAGCATTAGAACACTAAAGTGTTAGCGTTGATTACCAGGAGAACTCAGTTACTCCTTCCGCTTGTTGCATGGGCTAGTAGCTCACAGTCAACACCATGTTTTCAGAAGACAAGCCAGCCATTAACAGAACTGGAGGTAGCTCCAACAGTGGAGAGAAAATGACCTTGCATGCAAGCAAGATTCCTACTACCGATATACCATAGGAATAGAAACATGAAAATTATATTTAATGAATCGAGATGTAAAATTTCTTCACATCTTCCGTAAAAAATCGAACATGCTGAAACAGGTCGAAACACATTTACATCATGAATTTTGCAAAAATTGAGTTTGAAATTCGATGTCACACTTCACATCAAGTAAATTATTGGTTACAACGAATGATTGTGCCTCTGCCCCAGCAATGACGCAACACAAGCTTCTGAGGTTCGCCGCCACCGGTCGTTTCTTCTGACGCCAGAGGTGTGTTTCATCCACGATCCGCTCATATCTGTGGTCAACTTCACATCAGATTTCAACCTTCTCTTCCTCCCACCTGAGAAGCAGAAATCAAGGATGGAACACGGAGTAAGCGCCAGAGCAACAGCTGCACCAAGCAGACGATCCATGCCGTAATCAGAATGCAATGTACGGGCTATTTTGACACGGAGTCACACACGAAAAAAGTCGTTACTCCGCAACACGAAGCACCGAGTAGCTCTCGCACAATCATGGGACTGAAACTTCATCAGATCTCAGCTCAGCCCAGGGGGGAGTGTAATGACTGTGCTCACGAACATGCCGGCAAAACACCAATGAGAACGAAAACTACAGGAAATTACAGCATGCTGAATGATATAGAGGAACATGAGAATGACGGCGAAGGTCGGGCATCAGATTGTAAAAGGTGTAAGGTTTTTTCCACATGGATCATTGATCCGATCGGAGCATAAGTGATAGAATAACGATCATATGCCGGTCAATTACCAAGAACTGTGAGAAAAGGCATAATAGAAATGCGCGGACTACAGAAACTCGTAAATCAGAACCTCGGCTGCCGAACAATAATCAGAGAACGAGAACAGCAAGAAACTTCAGCGTGCCTCATGGTATAGACGAAAATGAGGACGACGGCAGGTGAGTCTCGCAATCAAGAGCTGGCATCAGATTGTCAGAGGTGTAAGGTTGTTTCAACACGGATCATCAATCCGATCAGAGTGTAGCATAAGTGATAGCTTATTGTCGCATCATATGCCAGCCATTGACCAAGAACGAAAAGAAACGGCACAATCGGAATGTGCGAACGACAATCCAACAATGACATCGCAAATCAGAAGCTCGCAAGTTAGGAACTCACATGTTATCAAGTAGCCGGGTGGTGCGCAAGTCTTTGCAGCAAAATGTTCCCAGCCACAACCACTCGCTCCAGGCCGGAAATTGCTACGGCGGGTTGCTGATAATGACCGAACCAACTCTGCAGCTGTTTATGTCACGACGTCATTCAATCATGGCGGCTTAACGCACGGTTGCCTCCACGCGGCTTAACACATGGTTCCTGTTAGGATGTATGTTGTCGAAACCATCTCATCTCCTCAGCACAATTAGAACCAACAGAAGCGACGTACACGCCGCCACCATGACCTCCAATGAGAGAGCGTCAGGAAGAAAAGATACGAAGAGTGAAGAAGGAAAGAAACAATGACGATGCAGTCGAATAGAAAGCAGAGATTTATTGTGGAAGCAGGGAAGTGACGGGATGAGGGTTTAGGCCAGGGAGGGGTGGGGGAAAAGGAGAGGATTGGATTGGGGGGTGATAGGGAGGAAATGTGGCGCGGGCAAACATCCATACGGAGGGCGTATTCGAAGTCGGTGTCCATCCATGTTGGGACTTCCCTCTCCGACACCAGCTGCTTTGCATACATTACTAGTTGCTGGTAAGAAACGATAGTTCAAAGGCGACCGTCTGGAAACACGCCCTTCGAGGTCAGCCCCCAAGAAGGGACACCACCACCACAAAGTAGAGAGGCGGAGGTTGTACGGCGAAATTGGTTCGTTAGGAATACCTCGTTATCAGCTCTGCTGTGGCTGTACCCCTTATTAACAACGCATTCCAGAACCAATCAACTTCTGGGTTGGGGAAGGTGGAAATCTTTGTATAATTTTTGTCATACATCTGGATGAAAATTATATATTTTGATTTTATATAGAGTGAACAAGTGTATTTAAAATTATATTCTACTTTTTCAGCTTCACACTCACTAATATATCTCACTGAGGCTAAAGATATATTAGACAGTTGTAGCCTAAGAAAGTTGGGAAACGAATTTTTGTAGCCTGCAGCATGTATCCTCACGTCATTGTTCTCGCCAGACTTTATTTCGCTAGCGACTGACGTGGAACTCTGAGGGCGTCTGCTCACGTTGCCTTGCCACGCTGCACCCACAGATTGGTCATCCAAAGAACCCCAAACCCGCCACGTGTCCCGCCTCATCCGCCACTGTCCCCCCCACATGTTCTGTTCCGAAGTCCTTGTCCCAGCTCCATTCATTTCTGTTCCCCGTGTCTGTCATGTTTCCGCCAGCCCTTCCCCACCCCTACATTTTCCGCGCATACATTTCCCCTTTTTCCCGTGAATTTTGCACATGCTCCCCAATCCCTCCCCCCGTTTCCGCCCGCCGTTCCCCCAATCCTTAGCCATTCATCTTTCTGGCATTACTACTAACTGCTATTCTTATCTAGAAATTCTCCTTTTTTCATCTGGGCCATTTTGGCCGTTTGAGCACGACTAGGCTTCGGCAGTGGATTCGGTTTGTCTGATCCGAGATTTGCCGCGCTCCTTGCTCGTCTCGGTAACGTGAGTGTTAATAAGATGCGTGTAGGGAATCCCAGCGAAGCACGGCCGCATTGTAGTAATATGATTCTCACATAGTGTGTATATATTAAGCGCTATCTATTGTTTTGCAGTGCACCGACTAATTTCCATTTTGTTCTCGTGCCTTTTAAATTGAACTCCTACTGTTCTTCTCTCTACCCCTCCCCCCTCCCCCTCCTTTCTTCGTTGATTAACCGGAATTACCATTTCCAGGACCAATCAGTGAACACACCGATCGTAGGACCGTCGTTCGAAGCGTCAGGATTTGAAACGTGTCAACGGGTGCGACGTCATGGGAAACGACGCGGAAACTACGCCGCCAGCTGCTTCCGCAGCCGCGGAAGAGCAGAAGCCAGCCGATGCCGCCCCCGCCGATGCGGCTCCCGCAGTAGATGCTGCCGCTACGGAGGGAGAGCAAAAGAAGGAGGGGGAGGGAGCGGAGAAGAAAGAGGGGGAGGGGGAGGGAGAGGGCGAGGGCGATGGGGTTGCTAAGAAGGACGCGGATGAGCTTCAGCTGTATCCTCTTGCGGTGAAGGGACCTGCTGGGGAGGAGATCGAACTGCAGGTAGGTCGAGACGGTTGCGGTACGTAATTTAGGCGCGTAAAAATAACGAACCCAAATAAACGGCAACATTTTGCTGAAGAAGGACATCGCTTGCGGTGATCGGTCCGGTTGAGTGCGGTGAAGAGTTGAAGTGGACTGTTGAGTGCGACGCTTGGTTCGGATCCCGTCCAGTTAATTAACGAATTCCGTCCATTTGTTCAGCAAATCCGTCATCTCGCCTGGCCGTTGCCACTTCCTCAACCCCACACCACACTGCACCCGCTTCGCCCTTTTTTCCCTCCTTCGCCCGCCCTTTTATCCTCCATCCCTTCCCTTTCCCCCACTTACCCCCCATCTTTCAGGGCAACCCAGCCAATACAGTGATGGTCTTGAAACAGTTCCGCGCTCGAGACATGCTTCTATACCGCGTACAACCTTATCCTCTGTAACCGCGGACTCCTCCCCTTCTCTTTCTCCTCCCCTCCCCCTCCCCCTCCCCTCCCCCCTCCCACACTTCCCTCCCTCTCACGCTTGCTCTCTCTCGCCCGTTCAGGTGAACCCTGCAGATACAGTAATGGATTTGAAGCAGTTTTTGGCCGACGCGCCCGAGACGTGCTTCTATACCGCGTACGACCTTATCCTCACCAAGCCGGACGGATTGCGTTACCACCTCATGGATTACGTGGAGATTGGGGAGGTTGCTGACGTGGCAGCCGGCGGGTGCCTGCTGGAGATGTTCAACACGTTCTACGATGACCGCGCGGTGCGGCTGCACGTGCGTAAAACGAGGGAGCTTATATCGATGGCCGGGTCGTACTCTAGCGCGTCTACGGCCATGGCGGCGGAGTATGAGCTAGTTAAGGGTCTCGCGACGGAGCGCGAGCTTGGAGGGGATGAGAAGGAGGAGGGGGAGGGGAAGGAGGGCGAGGGGGAGAAAGACGGGGAGAAGGATGGAGACGAGGGCGGGGAGTGGAAGAAGAGCGGGAAGGGGAAGAAGGGGAAGGGGCGGCGGAGCAAGGAGGAGGAGGCGAAGGAGAAGGAGCGGCGGGAGAAGGAGAAGGAGCGGGAGCGCAAGGCGAAGCTTCCGAGCAGCAAGGCGCGGATGGAGGAGATCGCGTCGCTGGAGCAGGGCGTGGGGCTGGGCGATGATCCCAAGGGCGTTCTCGCGAAAGTTATGGTGAAGGGCGGCGCGGACGAGGACGCCGCGCCCGTGTGTGTGGAGAGCATCGCCTTCTCCTCTTTCAATCCCGTGCCCGGGCCCAGGAGGTGAGGTTATGATTGTCCCCGCTATTAGACGCCTCAGTAGTCCGTTTTCACCTGTAAGGCGTTCTCGTCTACAGGTGGTGGTGACGGCAGGGGGAAAGCTCTTCTGCGAGACGGCGCACACGAGGGGCTTCTTTGTCAACCGCAGTGGCTGGCAGTCCCAGTGGCACATGTCTCATATCCCTCTCCACCACTTTCAACCGCTACCCATCTCTCTACCACCCCTCGCAGGCTGCAAGGCGATCTCGTGTACCTGGAGGTGGTGACGGCGGAGGGAAAGCTCTTCTGCGTGACGGCGCACACGAGGGGCTTCTTTGTCAACCGCAGTGGCAGCGGCCGCAAGCTGGACCCGCGCCCTGCTGAGCCCAAGATGGACGCGTCCACTCTCATCGGCCTGCTGCGGCAGATCAGCCCGCTCTTCTCCAAAGGTGAGCCACACACTTCTGTCTCGAAAGGAGAGAAAGGGAGTTGGAATATCCCCTCCTTGCGCCCACCATATGGCGAATGCAGTCCGAATGTGAGGTATCAATCTGGGTTTAGGGGTTATGCCCTTGTATGCCTCTCTGTCGGTCATGGCATATATGATACCAACAATGTGGGTAAAATAAAGAATAAAAATAAAAAATCAAAGTACGGTCTCTTGAGGCAGCTTCAACATTTGCCCACACCAGCCACATTGGAAAAAAAACAAAAAAAAAAACGCCAATGTCCATGGTTTTTGGTGTGTTCGCACCACCACACTACCAGCATCCCCACCCGCTCGCATGATCCTGACATTTGCACACAGCCTTGCACCCTTGCCCGATCTGTAGTTTTCTTTTATGTCTAAAGATCCAATCATGCACTGATGCAAACAAATACTTTCAAATGCACAGGTCTAACCACCTTTAGCCCGTCAGTAACTTTCAATAACCCTCATTATCTCTCCATTTGCCCTCCCCTTCCCCTACTTGACCCTCCCCTTCTCAGCCTTCGCGGAGGTGATCGAGCGCAAGGCCAACCGCCACCCGTTTGAGAACATGCTGGCACCGCTGCCGCCCAACGACTGGGCGGCAAAGCCCATCTGGGGCGGCGCGGACGGCACAGGGCCGCTACAGTACACGCGTGACGTGGCGCGATCCGAAGACGCTCTAATGGCCCCCTTTGGCATTGATTTCAGCGGGGTTCTGAGGGATTGGAATGAGGAGCTCCAGAGCTGCAGGGAGTTACCGCGTAACTCGTTACAAGACCGGATTCTCCGCGACCGGGCGTTGTATCGAGTCAGCTGCGAGTTTGCTGATTCGGCGGTGCGTGGCGCGAAGGCCGTGATTGGCCGGTCGATCCCGCCGATCAACCCGCATGACGCGGATCGGTTCCATATGTATGTGCATAATAATATCTTCTTTTCCCTGGCGGTGGATGGGGATTTTGCGGCGCTGCAGCAGATTAGAGAGGCGGAGCTGAAGCAGCAGGCGGAGGCGGAGGCTGCTAAGAAGGGGGAGGGGGAGGGCGGGGAGAAGAAGGAAGGGGGAGAGGAGGGGAAGGAGGAGGGGAAGAAGGAAGGGGAGAAGGAAGAGGAGAAAAAGGTGGAGACGAAGGAGGAGAAGAAGGAGAAGAGGGATAAGAAGAAGAAAGAAAAGAAGGATAAGAAGGAGAAGGAGAAGAAAGAGCAGGAGGCTGCAGCAGAGGAGAAAAAGGTGGAGGAGGCGAAGGCAGAGGAGGGAGATAAGAAGGAAGGAGAGAAGAAGGAAGGAGAGGAGGGGGAGAAGAAGGAGGGAGAGGATGCAGCAGCAGCAGCAGCGGCAGTGACGGAGGCAGAGCAGGCAACGTATGCATCGTCCAACAACGACCTCAAGGGCACCATGGCTGTGAACAACGCCGACATCCCCGGGCTCTACTCGCTGGCCATGGCCATCGTGGACTACCGCGGGCACCGAGTCATTGCTCAGGTAGGTGTTGGTTCGCAGGCATAGCCACTGTTCAGACGTGCTGTGGGCTGTGAGGTGCCCCAACGACCTCAAGGGCACCATGGCTGTGAACAACGCGGACATCCCCGTGCTCTACTCTCTTGCAATGGCCATTGTGGACTACCGCGGGCACCGAGTCATTGCTCAGGTGCGTGTTGCTGTGTTGCTGTATAGTATGGTAAGCCATTTGACAGAGGTCTCCCAGGCTCTACTCGCTTTCCATGGCCATTGCGGACTTTCCACCCTTCACCTGTTCTCTCAACCCTGTCTCCACTCCGCCACTTTCCCCCCTTCCCCCAATCGCAGAGCATCATTCCGGGCTTTCTGTATGGCTATCGGGCAAGACCATCAAGTACCTGACCCTCTTGTACCCTTCTGTACCCTCCTGCACCCCTCACCTACCTTACCCTTTGTTGAGCAGAGCATTGTCCCGGGCATTCTCTATGGCGATCGCACGACGCAGATGCTGTACGGGTCGGTGGACACGGGCGAGGTCATTAGTACCTTACCCTCTTGTACCCTTCTGTACCCATCTGTACCCCCCACCTTGACTTGCCTTCCCCCCATCACAGAGTATTATCCCAGGCATCCTCTACGGCGATCGCACGACGCAGATGCTGTACGGGTCGGTGGACACGGGCAAGACCATCAAGTGGAGCGACTCCTTCCACCCCAAGGTGTGTGTGTGTGCGTGCGTGTAATGCTCGTTAGGTGCTGCTACAGTAAGTCACGAGTCATGCTGTTAAGGTGTCAAGGGCACGACGCAGATGCTGTACGGGTCAGTGGACACGGGCAAGACCATCAAGTGGAGCGACTCCTTCCACCCCAAGGTGCGAACCTGCTGGCCGATGATGGATGAATGTGTGTGTGGGGGTGAAGGGAGGTCGGGGTGTGAGGCATCTCACTCACTCTCTGCATCACTTTGTGGGTCGGTCGGTGGACACAGGCAAGACCATCAAGTGGAGCGACTCCTTCCACCCCAAGGTGCGAACCTGCTGGCCGATGATGGATGAATGTGTGTGTGGGGGTGAAGGGAGGTCGGGGTGTGAGGCATCTCAATCACTCACTGCATCACTTTGTGGGTCGGTCGGTGGACACAGGCAAGACCATCAAGTGGAGCGACTCCTTCCACCCCAAGGTGCGAACCTGCTGGCCGATGATGGATGAATGTGTGTGTGGGGGTGAAGGGAGGTCGGGGTGTGAGGCATCTCACTCACTCACTGCATCACTTTGTGGGTCGGTCGGTGGACACAGGCAAGACCATCAAGTGGAGCGACTCCTTCCACCCCAAGGTGCGAACCTGCTGGCCGATGATGGATGAATGTGTGTGTGGGGGTGAAGGGAGGTCGGGGTGTGAGGCATCTCACTCACTCACTGCATCACTTTGTGGGTCGGTCGGTGGACACAGGCAAGACCATCAAGTGGAGCGACTCCTTCCACCCCAAGGTGCGAACCTGCTGGCCGATGATGGATGAATGTGTGTGTGGGGGTGAAGGGAGGTCGGGGTGTGAGGCATCTCTCTCACTCACTGCACCACTTTGTGGGCCGGTCGGTGGACACAGGCAAGACCATCAAGTGGAGCGACTCCTTCCACCCCAAGGTGTGTGCATGGGTGGGAGTGGGTGCGGGTAGGCTGTGTGTAAGGGTGTGTAAGTGCGTGTATGTATTGTTGGCACTAGTTAGGTAACTCTTAGATTCTGTACGGGTCGGTGGACACAGGCAAGACCATCAAGTGGAGCGACTCCTTCCACCCCAAGGTGCGTGCATGGATGGGTGTGTGTGCATTGCTGGTGGGGGTGGAGGTGTGTCTGGGTCCCTGTGTTGGTGAAAGGGGGACGGGAGGCGCTAAGGCATCTTGAGGTGTGAAAAAGTCTCTCTAGCAGGATACCATACACACCACCACCTGTGACACATGTTCCACACCGCCACCTGTGACACATGTTCCAAGCCAAGCTGCATGAAAGACTGGTAAACAAGCCTACCTAAAGTCATGCCTCCTAAGTGGGGTTCCGTTGGACCAGACACACCGCCACCTGTGACACATGTTCCACACCGCCACCTGTGACACATGTTCCAAGCCAAGCTGCATGAAAGAGAGGGCAACAAAGCCCTTCAACCCATCACTCTCTCCAGGGTGGGCTCTCTGTGACATTATTCAGAGTTGACTTTTGAGTCAACTCAAAAGTCAACTCGAGAGGGCAACAAAGCCCTTCAACCCATCTCTCTCTCTCCAGGGTGGACTCTCTGTGACATTATTCAGAGTTGACTTTTGAGTCAACTCAAAAGTCAACTCGAGAGGGCAACAAAGCCCTTCAACCCATCTCTCTCTCTCCAGGGTGGACTCTCTGTGACATTATTCAGAGTTGACTTTTGAGTCAACTCAAAAGTCAACTCGAGAGGGCAACAAAGCCCTTCAACCCATCTCTCTCTCTCCAGGGTGGACTCTCTGTGACATTATTCAGAGTTGACTTTTGAGTCAACTCAAAAGTCAACTCGAGAGGGCAACAAAGCCCTTCAACCCATCTCTCTCTCTCCAGGGTGGACTCTCTGTGACATTATTCAGAGTTGACTTTTGAGTCAACTCAAAAGTCAACTCGAGAGGGCGACAAAGCCCTTCAACCCATCTCTCTCTCTCCAGGGTGGACTCTCTGTGACATTATTCAGAGTTGACTTTTGAGTCAACTCAAAAGTCAACTCGAGAGGGCAACAAAGCCCTTCAACCCATCTCTCTCTCCGGGGTGGGCTCTCTGCCTTTCGTGTCACGGGTTACAAGTGATTTTTTGAGACGTCTCAAAAACTCTCTGCCTTTCGTGTCACTCTCCCCACACCCCCTCTGTCGCCCTCTGCTCATGTTCCTCCTCCTTCCCTCTGCTCATGTTCCTCCTCCTTCCTCTGCTCATGTTCCTCCTCCTTCCCTCTGCTCATGTTCCTCCTCCTTCCTCTGCTCATGTTCCTCCTCCTTCCTCTGCTCATGCTCCTCCTCCTTCCCCTGCTCATGTTAAACCATGCCAGGTGGCGGAGCTGGGGAAAGCGCTGCACCTCAAGGAGCACAAGGTGACGGACGGCGACGGCAAGGAGGCGACTCTGTGCTCGCCCGTGGAGACCAAGGGCATCCTGGGCAGCGATGACAGGTGCGCGGTGGAGAGTGGTGGGGAGGGGTGATGGGTTTCGGGGAGGGATTAACGAGAAGGTGAGGGTTGTGGGGACGGGGGTTCTGGTCTGACTGTTTGGCTGAGGGCAAGGAGGCGACGCTGTGCTCGCCTGTGCTCGCCTCAGCGCACAGGGCAAGGGCATCCTGGGCAGGGCAGTGGCGACAGTGTGGGTGAGGGGTGAGGAACGGATAGGGGATGAGGAACGGATAGGGGATTAGAAGAAGGGAGCGGTCAACTGGGCAGAAGGGAAGGGGGGACTTTCCATACTCACCTTTTTTCTGTCTTTCACTCTTCTTCCACTCTCTGCCTCCCTCCCTTCTCCGCCCCTTCAGGAATACCTGTTGGATTTGATCCGCCTCACTCCGCGTGACGCCAATTCCACCGCCACCATCACCACCGCAGCTGATTCTCTCTCTTCTTCCTCGTGCTTGCATTCTGCCCCCCATTTTCCAACTCTCAGGAAGTACCTGTTGGATCTGATCCGCCTCACTCCTCGCGACGCCAACTTCACCGCCACCACCACCAGCACCACCACCGCTGCCACCGGCACGGATACCAACTCCACCGCCAACGCCGCCAACGCTGCGAATGCGGCCAACCGCCTGGCGATTCTCCGCCCCGAGCTGGTGGAGAAGTTTTGCCGGGAGGAGCAGGTGGAGCGGTGGATGGCTCAGAAGGGCGTGAGCGAGCGGCCGAGCGCAGAGGAGGTGGAGGAGCTGAGGGAGAAGGCCGAGCTGCCTGACGTGCTGTTCAACCCCAACGTGCTGACTGAGTTCAAACTGGCTGATGATTCCAAGGTGGGTGTGAGTGCGTAAGATAGGCAGGTACCTGATTGATACAGTGCTGCCAGCACTGATGATGGATATCAAGAGCTGCTAGGGGTGGGAGGAACCATCCTAACCCATCACCGTCTCTTTTCCCCCCTCACCTCTCACATATCTCACAGGAGGTGGAGGAGGACGAGGCGTTGGTGCGCAAGGCGGGCACATACCTGATCGAGACAGCGCTGCCTGCGCTGGTGGCGGACATCAAGAGCTCCTTGGGGGGTGGCAGAAATGGACCATACCCTAACCCTTGCCGCTTTTCCTCACCCACCCAATGCCCACGCAACAACAGGAGGTGGAGGAGGACGAGGCGTTGGTGCGCAAGGCGGGCACATACCTGATTGACACAGCGCTGCCAGCGCTGGTGGCGGACATCAAGAGCTCCTTGGGGGGTGGAAACAACCCCTCTAACCCAGATTTGTCTCCCTCTCTCTCCCACCCATGCACCACCACAGGAGGTGGAGGAGGACGAGGCGTTGGTGCGCAAGGCGGGCAAGTACCTGATTGAGACGGCGCTGCCGGCACTGGTGGCGGATATCAAGAGCTCCGAGGGGTGGCCCGTGGATGGGCGCTCGCTCGCCAGCACCATGCACGCGCATGGCGTCAACCTGCGCTACCTGGGCCGGGTGAGTTCATTTGGGAGGGCGGTGGTGGGGTTCGGATGTATCTGCTATGTACATGTAGAGCACAGGCAGGGCGCTCACAGGCACCATGCACCACGCCCACGGCGTCAACCTGCGCTACCTGGGCCGGGTGAGTTTCCTTTCCCTTCCCTCTTTGGCCTTCGATGGGCGGGTGGGTTTCTCTCAAGCACGTGGGTCAGAGCACTGGTGGCGGATACCAAGAGCTCCGAGGGGGGGGGTGGCCTGTGGATGGGCGCGCTTGCAAGCACCATGCACGCGCACGGCGTCAACCTGCGCTACCTGGGCCGGGTGAGTGCCTGAGCCTCTCAGGGGCCTTGGATGGATGGGCGGGTGAGTGCCTCTCATGCACGTGGGTCGCGGTATTGGTGGCGTTGGGCAGGTGGGCATGCATGGGTGCACGTACTGCCTCCCATACTCCCCCCTCTCTCTAACCCTCTACATTTCTTTCTCCCTCTCCCCCTCCCTCCCTCCCTCCCTCTCTCCCCCTTCCCCCCACCCTCCCTCCCCCCAACCCCTTTCTGAAACTGCCAGGTGGCGAAGGAGGTGGCTGACGTGGAGCAGGTGTACTGGCTGTGCGTGGCGGAGATGGTGGTGAGGGCCACCAAGCACGTTCTTAAAGCTGTTCTCCGCGAGACACTCGAGCAGGACGTGGCCGGCGCCATCGCCCACTTCCTCAACTGCTCCCTCCCTTGCTGCCTTCTTTTACTCCCTCCCCTGCTCCTTCCCTTGCTTCCTCTCCTGCTCCCTACCTTGCTGCCTCTCCTGCTACCACTTCATACTGCCAGGTTGCAAAAGAAGTGGCTGACGTGGAGCAGGTATACTGGCTGTGCGTAGCTGAAATGGTGGTGAGGGCCACCAAGCACGTGCTTAAAGCTGTTCTCCGCGAGACGCTCGAGCAGGACGTGGCCGGGGCTATTGCCCACTTCCTCAACTGCTTCCTCGGCACCTCCACCACCACGCCGCCGCCCACGCTCCCCGGCGTCGGGGATACGGACAAAGCCGAGGGCGGCACCGCGGGCGGCGGGGGGAAGAAGAAGAAGAAGGGGAAGGGGGGGGAGAGGAAGGATGGGGAGGAGAGGAAGGAGGAGGGGGAGGAGAAGAAAGAGGCGTTTCTGTTTGTGGTGGATGTGCCGGGGTATACTCGCATCACGGCGGATATGGTGTGGTCTGATATTACTGAGGGCGTCAAGTACAAGTATCAGGTGAGAGAGAGTGGTGTGGGTGTGACTAGCAGTAACAGGCAAGAGGAAGGAGGAGGGGGAGGAGAAGGAGGCGTTTCTGTTTGTGGTGGATGTGCCGGGGTATACTCACATCACGGCGGATATGGTTTGGTCTGATATTACTGAGGGCGTCAAGTACAAGTATCAGGTGAGAGAGACTGAAACAGGGTCCTAGAATTGATTGAAATGACAAGGAATGCTATGAAGGCAGCACGGCTGGTGTAGGTGGGACGCACAGTAGGAGGTGCGAAGTGGATGTGCCGGGGTACACACACTGGGTGCCCTGCCCTCCGTTTCCCTGCTTTGCCCTGCCCTGCCCTCCCCTGCCCTGCCCTCCCCTGCCCTCCCCTGTGCGCAGTTTGAGATCCCCCCCGAGACGCGCAAGATGGTTCGCAGCCTCGCCACCCTCCGCAACATCTGCCTCAAGGTCAGACTAAATACTTGCTACAATCATCTTTTCAGGCCCCAGTCCTGACAGCCAAGAACTTTGAGCTTTGGTGAGCTCTGGGGCAAAGAGGGCCTAGTCCTGGCTGGCAGTAAGAAATGCTGATCTCCACTGTGACTTGCCTAGTGCCAGTTGGGGTGTTTTTTGGAGCGCTGCACACAGATGGGCATTGTCCTCCTGGCTTTTCCTCATCTACACCCCCTTTCCTTCTCCTCCTCCCCACCATGCCACACTCTCCTCTCCTTGGGTTGCTGCCACAGATAGGCATCGTCCTGGCAGCGAGGGATTACAATCTCGAGTGAGACGTACCCATTGCGATAGCAGATGTGTGCGACCTCCAGCCTGCGGTCTCAATTCATCCTCTCTCCCTTATCCTCCTATCCCCGTGTTTCCTTATCCCCACAGATGGGCATCGTCCTGGCAGCCAGGGATTACAACCTCGAGTGCGACGTGCCCATTGCGATCGCAGATGTGTATGACCTGCTGCCGCAAGTCAAGTTCGGCCCACCTCACTCCCTCTCTCCCTTGTTGCCCCTTCTCCTTGTGTTTCCCCCCACAGATGGGCATCGTCCTGGCAGCCAGGGACTATAACCTCGAGTGCGACGTGCCCATCGCCATAGCAGACGTGTGCGACCTGCTGCCTTGATAATCATCTCTGCCCACTCCCCTCTCCCGATGTCCCCTTCATTCCACTCACAGATGGGCATCGTCCTGGCTGCCAGGGACTACAACCTCGAATGCGACGTGCCCATTGCCAGTGCAGACGTGTGCGACCTGCTGCCTTGATAATCATCTCTGCCCACTCCCCTCTCCCGATGTCCCCTTCGTTCTACCCACAGATGGGCATCGTCCTGGCTGCCAGGGATTACAACCTCGAGTGCGACGTGCCGATTGCCATTGCAGACGTGTGCGACCTGCTGCCGCAAGTCAAGTTCGCTTACACCCACTCCCCTCTCCCTGTCCTCCCTGTCTTGCCCTTCTCCCTGTCTTGCCCTTCTCCCTGTCTTGCCCTTCTCCCTGTCTTGCCCTTCTCCCTGTCTTGCCCTTCTCCCTGTCTTGCCCTTCTCCCTGTCTTGCCCTTCTCCCTGTCTTGCCCTTCTCCCTGTCTTGCCCTTCTCCCTGTCTTGCCCTTCTCCCTGTCTTGCCCTTCTCCCTGTCTTGCCCTTCTCCCTGTCTTGCCCTTCTCCCTGTCTTGCCCTTCTCCCTGTCTTGCCCTTCTCCCTGTGTTCCCCCAACAGATGGGCATTGTGTTGGCAGCAAGGGATTACAACCTCGAGTGCGACGTGCCCATCGCCATAGCAGACGTGTGCGACCTGCTGCCCCAAGTCAAGTTTGCCTCACCTGCCTGCAGCGACGCTCAGAAGCTGCTGGAGAAGGGCAAGAGCCTCGTGCACAAGGTATGGGGGGGGAGGAGCATGGTGGGTGAAAGTCGCGTGGTTATGGGTGCGGCGTTTTGAGAATCTTTCAATGGTTGCACCTGTCCCATGTGCACCTGTCCCGTGTGCACCTGTCCCATGTGCACCTGTCCCATGTGCACCTCTCATCTGGTGGCAAATTAGCCGGGTGCACCTGTCCCATGTGCTTCCGGTCAGTATGTCCACCAATAGTGTTCCGCCACGTGGATACCCGGTGACCATGGCTGCCCATGCCATGCCCGCCTCTCTTCCCATGGTACATACCCTTGCCTGTCCATGCCATGCCATGCCATGCCATGCCATGCCTGCGCCTCTTCCGACGGCACGATCAATACTCTGCCAATACCCTTGCGCCCCTTTCACATTCTTCCTTTCCAGGTCGGCCTACCCCTGCGCCCGCGCGTTTCCGCAACCCCTCAGAGCGGGCAGTGGCTGCGGGAGCATCGACAGCTCAAGCACCCCTAACAGTGTGGTCCCTTTTCACACATCCCTTCTCTCACATGGTCCCCTCGTCCACTCTCTCCCCCCCCTTCCCAGGTCGGCCTGCCCCTGCGCCCGCGTTTCTCCGCCACCCCGCAGAGCGGGCAGTGGCTGCGGGAGCACGAGACGACTCTCAACTCCGCGTTTGAGATTCTCAGCGAGGCGTACCAGATCCTGCAGCAGGTGGGGCCTTGGGGCTGCTGAAGGGGATAGGGGGTGCTGGGCGGGGGGTTTGGGATTGGGGTTATGAAGGGAGGAGAGCACGAGACGACTCTCAACTCCGCGTTTGAGATTCTCAGCGAGGCCTACCAGATCCTGCAGCAGGTGGGGCTTTGGGGCTGTTGAAGGGGATAGGGGGTGCTGGGCGGGGGGTTTGGGATTGGGGTCATGAAGGGAGGAGAGCACGAGACGACTCTCAACTCCGCCTTTGAGATTCTCAGCGATTCCTACCAGATCCTGCAGCAGGTGAGGGCTCAGGGCTGTAAGAAAGAGGGGGGGGAGATTAGGGGCTGTGATTGGAAAGGAGCTAGGGAGGAAGGGAGGTGGGGGGGTGGTAATGCGCTGCTTTTGCCTATCAACGTTCTCTACTTCCCCAACCCCCCCTCCCCTTAACCTTACCCTTCCCGTTCTCTCCGTCCCTTTGTTTCGCTTCATGCCCTGATTCTCTCCCTCTCCTCTTTCCTCGTCCCTTTCCTCCCATACCCCCCTCCCAAACCAACTCCCACCTCTCCCCCCCACCTCCCCCACCTCCCTCCCAATTCCCCCTTTTCCAGGTTTGCGGACCTCTTCATCTAGACGTTGCAGCATGCTGCAGGTAAGCAGAGATACATTCAGATGTGCTCTCCCACTCCACGTGTAGTAAGTCGATTTTTTAGTCGACTCAAAAAACGTTGCAGCATGCTGAGGTAAGCAGAGATACATTCAGATATGCTCTTCCACTCCTCGTCAGCCATTTGTCATGTATAGTTGGTGCCCTCTCCCCAACCCTCGTTTGTAAGACCCCCTCCTCCACCCCCCGTTTGTGTCACCCCCTCCTCCACCCCCTCCCCCATTCCCATCCCTGCACCAACCGTTTGAGCCAGGTACCTGGCTCTGATCTTCTATCACGCGGGGGAGACCGGCAACGCCATTCTGCAGCAGCACCGTGAGCTGATTATCAACGAGCGCGTGGTGGGGACAGACCACCCCGACACCGTGCACAGGTGGGTGTGAGAGACACTGTGGTGGGGGGTCCAAGGGGGACGAACACGAAGGGGGGAAGGGGGCGCTGCAAGGGACAGTGCCTTGTGCAGCAGCACCGTGAGCTGATCATCAACGAGCGCGTGGTGGGGACAGACCACCCCGACACCGTGCACAGGTGGGAGTGTGTGTGAGACACCGTTGTGGGGGGCTGCAAGGGGATATGCAGGAGGGGAGGGGGTACAAGGTGGAAGCGCACTGTCTTATGCAGCAGCACCGCGAGCTGATCATCAACGAGCGGGTGGTGGGGACAGACCACCCCGACACCGTGCACAGGTGGGCTTGAGACTTTCCGTCTCTTGTGGTTAGTCAGGGTTTGGGGTATATGGTGTAGGGTGTAGAGGACTGCAGCAGCACCTCGAGCTGATTATCAACGAGCGCGTGGTGGGGACGGACCACCCCGGCACCGTGCACAGGTGGGCTGAGACTCTGTTGCTCATGGATCAGAATCGGGGTTTATGGGCTAGGGTGTTAGGGACTACAGCAGCAGCACCGCGAGCTGATCATCAAAGAGATGATGGTGGGGACAGACCACCCCGACACCGTGCGCAGGTGGGTTACTAGCCAGGCGATAAAACTAGTGTTTTGAGACGTCTCATTCTCAAAACACTATTTTTATCACCGACACCGTGCACAAGTGGGTTACTAGCCAGGCGACTCCCCTGCACCCCCCTCCCCTTTTCCACACACAACCACGGGTGATAGGGGAATCGTTAGGCACCCTCTAGTACCGTTTGGCACCTTTGAGAACCTTTCTAGCAGCCCCCTTTTTTCCTCTTTGCTTATTGCATTCCACAGTCACGGTGGCAAATTAGCTGGGTGCACCTGTCATGTGCTTCCGGTCAGTATGTCCACCTATAGCAGTCCGCCACGTGGATACCCGGTGACCATGGCTTCCCATGCCATGCCCGCCTCTCTTCCCATGGGACATCCAATGCTGTCTTGTTGTGATCTCCTCTCCGTGCCATGACATACCCTGTCATGTCATGCCATGCCATGCCCGCCTCTTGTTCCCTGACACATGCTGTGTTGTTGTGCACCCCATGCTACGTCATGCCGTGCCATCATGCCATGTCCTGTCCGCTCCCTCTCCTCCCCTCCCTCTTTTTCTCTTTCCTCACCCCACCCCCTCACAACCCCTTCTCCCCCCCAATCACCCACACAGCTACAGCAACATGGCGCTGTATTTCCACGCCATAAGAGAGTCCGAGCTCGCTCTGCGTCACTTCAAGCGCAACCTGCTCTCTGCTCCCCTCAGCATGCCTCCCTCCCTTGCCCTCTGTCTTCCGTCCCTTTCCCCACATCCCCCCCCCCCCCACCACCACCACCAGCTACGGCAACATGGCGCTCTACTTCCACTCCATGGGAGAGTCCGAGCTCGCTCTGCGCCACTTCAAGCGCACGCTGCAGCTGCTCTCGCTCTCTGCAGGCAACGACCACCCGGAGGTGGCTTCTCTGTTTGTCAACATCGCCCTCACCTACCAGGTGTGTGTGCGGTGGTGGTTGTCTATGGTGTGGTGTATGGTGCGGTGTGTCATCATGTAGCTCGTCACTTCAAGCGCACCCTGCAGCTGCTTTCGCTCTCTGCCGGCAACGACCACCCGGAGGTGGCTTCTCTGTTTGTCAACATCGCCCTCACCTACCAGGTGTGTGTGCCGTGGTGTGGGGTTGGTTATGATGCGTGTGAATGGCATGTTGCAGCCGCTGGCAACGACCACCAGGAAGCGGTGCTCTGTTGAGACCACAAGTGGGTCTCTTCAAAAGGCGGTGCACTGTTGAAATCACTTTTAATTATTCTCAAGAGTGAGAAGCTTCCGGCCGCCTCTCTCAAGTTACCTCCCTCCCCTCCCCCCTCCTGTTTCCTGTTGAACACCATGCCCTCGCCTTTGCTTTTTCTTCCATGGGCAAACACATAAGCAAGCCACAGTATGCGATGAAGTGTCTGCAGGAGGCGGTGTGAATGTGTGAGAAGCTGCTTTTCCCTTCCTCAATACACCTACCCCTCCCTTCTTTCCTCCCTGCACCGGTGCATCTTCCCCCCTCCCCCCACCCCGTTTTCGCCTTTTTTATTTCATCACCAGGACATGGGAAAGTTGCAGAACGCCATGAAGTATCTACAGGAGGCGGTGCGAGTCAGTGAGAAGCTGCTGGGGGAGAATCATGTGCAGGTGGCCGTGTGTCACCATGCGCTCGCCCTTGCGTTCTCTTCCATGGGCGCCTTCAAGCTCGCTCTACAGGTTCGTTACATTGGGGGTGTATAGCGTGCAGCTGTTGGGAGTGAGTGAGGGATTCGTTCTTCTGTTCTGCTCTGCCCCATTCTCTCTCCTCTCCCCTAACCCACCATTCGCACTCTCAAAATCCCCTCTTTCCCCCACCACAGGAGGAGCGCAAGGCGCAGGCGGTGTTTGAGAAGGCGGTGGGGAAGGAGGACCCGCGCACCAAGGAGTCAGAGCAGTGGGTGCAGTCGTTCCTCGACCGCGAGCTCAGGGTGAGTCGGGGGGACATGTTGGCGTGTGTGTATGTGTAGCATGTGTGCATTTGAATGCATGGGTTGATCACTCAAGCAGCACAGAGTCGGAGCAGTGGGTGCAGTCGTTCCTCGACCGCGAGCTCAGGGTGAGTGCTGTGATTGTTGTTGGTGATGATGCATTGATGTGTGCATGCGGGGAGATTGCATGTGAGTGAGTGGGTTGATCACTCGAGCAGCACCAAGGAGTCGGAGCAGTGGGTGCAGTCATTCCTCGACCGCGAGCTCAGGGTGAGTGCGACTGCCACGTATGATTTAGTGCGTGTGTGGAAATGCAGTTACGTGTGTGCATGTGGGGTAGTGCAAGGGAATGAGTGCTTGCTTGCATTGCTCAAGCACCATTAAAGGGTCGGGGGAGTGGGTGCGTGCATGCGATGCTGGGGAGTGGTTGCAGTCGTACCTCAACCAGCAGCCCTCACTCACTTTCTGTTCGCTTTCCCTCCCATGCCTTTCCCCTTACCCTCCACGTCTCCACAGGCGCAAAAGCAGAAGGTGGGGCAATCAGCAGCAACAGTCCAGCAGCAACAAGCAGCGGCTCTCCGTGTGGCCGAAGCTCTCAAGGTATGCCGAGGCTGCCATTTCGAACACATTAAGCATTGCCATTCTTTGTCCATGTTGCCATCATTGTTGGCATGCTGCAGATAGTCTAGATTCGGATTCCTGATCTACGCTTTTTCCTCTTGCCCATGCCTTCCTTTTCTTTCAGCAACGGCCGGAGCTGCTTCAGGTGTTGCAGGCAGCAGCAGCGCCCGGAGCAGGAGGCTCCACCTCGTACCAGCGTGCCGTGGCTGACGCTCTGCTTCGGGGAGAGGTCCCCCCACCTGCTCCCGGAGCTGGTGCAGGCAGGTTCGGCGGAGGCATGGGAGCTACAGGCTCCTCAGGCACTGGCATTCGAGCCAGAGGTGTGGACGAGCGGGCTTCCAGGGCTGCTGCAGAGGCTCGGCGGAAAGCAGCGGCTCGGGGGGTGAACCTACGAGGAGCTGCAGGTTCGGCAGGTGCCCGAGCCGGTGCACCCAGTGCAATGGACATGGAAGAATTGATTAATTTCATCAATAGCACGTCACCAGCTTCTGGTGCGGATAGCTCTTCCGCTAGTAAGACAGGCTCGGCACCTGCTCCGGCAGCTGGCTCGGCAGGTGGTTCGGCGGCGCCTGCTGGGCTTGGCGGTGTGGGCCTTGGTGTTGGCGTTGGTGCTGTCTCAGGAGCTCCGCCTCCCACGAAAGCTGGAGGAAAGAAAGGTGCGGGAGCAGCAGCGGCAGCAAGCAAGCCCGCAGCTACGGCAAATGGGGAAGCAAGTAAAGGGGATGCTCCTCTGGGTCTGGGGGGAGGGCTTGCTCCCTTGCCTGGTGGCAAGGGTAAGGGCAAAGCCAAGTAGTGGAGTGAATAGGTTCACTTTTTATTGGATAACTTGTAGAGAATTTTGGATCATGAAGGTGCAACTCACATGTATTGCAACCACAAAAACAACAAAATGTGATGTAGTCGACTTGGGAGGATCTGTTCTTAGTCAACCATGGTAGTTGAAACAAATGGATGGTGCTTACATGTGGCCTGTATTGAGGACTTGCAAGTTTATGAACCATTGGAAAGTCTGGCTGAAAGCACATTTTCTTTCTCAAGTATTAACTTGTTATTTTGTTTTCTATGCAGTTCCGAGTGCAGTGTTCTATTGTTAAAAGAGAGTGCGCAGGTTAACGAATAACGAGACTGTGATTGATGAGCTGAGAATACAATGAATGCACAGACTAATGTAGGGCTAGCCTAGCTAGGAGGAAACCTCGGACAAGCGAGGTTGGGTGCAGGTTAGGCGATGGAAATGCCGAAGGCGACGCGAGGAACCTCGGCAGCGTTAAAATCGGCCGAACGTGCGAACTCCGAGAATCGGGTTGTACGCGAAGCAGTCAACCCCGATAAGGAATTCGGGAAAATTCCTTACACCACCCCCCCCCTTAAGAAAGGCGGTCAATATCCGTAACACGCCTTCGCGCCAGGTAATCACCAACAAGTGGCGAGGCGTCGAGCGAGGCGGATGGCACCCACGTGTCGTCCTCGCTGGAGCGGTCGGTCCAGCGAATTAAGAAATCCACGTGTCGGCCAGCTGCGTCAAGGCGGACCCGATGAGCGAGGATTTTGGAAGGGTCAAGGGTCGGCTCCGGGACAGGTCGTGCTGTCGGGGCAGCGTGCTGACGTGCGATGTCGGTCGTTGCTGGCACGAACTGTCGAAGAAGGCTGACGTGGAAGGCGTCATGAATGCGCCAGTCGTCGGGTAGCAACAGCTTCGCGGTGACAGGTGTCACCATCTTGAGAATCTTGAACGGCCCGCAAAATCGTGGCCGTAGTTTCGATGGACCGGGCAGGTGCAGGTTCTTCGTGTCAAGTAGCACTAGTTGCCCAGTTGTCAAGACGAGTTCCCGTCAGAGAAGGTCGGTGTATTTGCGGGAAGTAATACTCGCCTTGCGAATTGCGCCTACGGCTTTTTCTTGGACTTCCTGAAGTTCCGTCACGAAAGTCTGTGACCTCGTGACCGGATTGTCGAGAGTAGTTGCCGTAGGAACTGTCGGGTCCATCCCGTGATTCAGGAAAAATGGGGAGTGATTAGTCGTGCTGGACGGTGCGTTGTTGAAGGCGAATTCCAACATCGCGAGCGAGTCTTCCCAGCGGCCAGGGTCGGGGCAGTTTGTCCTGATCAGCTGCTCCATGGTCTGATTGGTCCGCTCGGTTTGACCGTCCGTCTGTGGGTGATATGCCGATGAGAACTGTAGCTTCGTGTCGTACTGCGCCCACGTCTCCTTCCAGAACTTGGATGTGAACTTCGGGTCTCGGTCGCTGATGATCGCCGAAGGGATGCCGTGCAGTCGCACGACCGTTGAGATGAAGAGGCGCACAGTTTCTTCGGCCGTGATTGTCGTTCGGCATGGTGCGAAGTGCGCCATTTTCGTGAAGCGATTGACGACGACGAGAACAGCGTCGTTGCCGGACGGCCCAGCTGGCATCCCCGTGACGAAATCCATCGTCACTTGCTGCCACGGTCGTTCGGGTGGCTCGAGGGGTTGCAGCAGCCCAGCTGGTCGCTGACGTGTCGATTTCATTGCTTGGCACACCTTGCATGAGGACACATAGCGCTGCACGTCGTTAGATGAATTAGGCCGGTAATATTGACGGTGCAATAGTTTCTGGGTTTTATCAACCCCGAAGTGTCCGGAGAAATTCGAATCGTGGATTTCCTGGATGAGAAGTTCACGCAGCAGTCGGTAAGCGGGAACCCAAATCCGGTCAGTTCCGGCTTTTAGGTAATAGTCCCCTTTCTGCGTCGTAGCCTGCTGATGATTTCCCGTCGTGAAGAATGGGTCCGTCGTGTAGCCGTGGGTAAATAGTCCGGTAAGTAACGGGTTCGAGTGGGTGATGAGTACTGCACCGGATTGTACTGCCGGTCGGGTCAGGGCGTCGGCGATGTTATTAGCCCCTTTTTTGTACGTGATGCGGTAGGTGAAGTGGCTCTCCATGTAGTCCAGCCACCGAATCTGTCGTGGGTTGAGGTTGGGTTGGGCTCGCAGATACTGTAGGGACTTGTGGTCCGTGCGATCAGTGACGTCGGCGCCCACCAAGTAGCATCGCCAGAATTTAAACGCGTGTATGATGGCGAGCATCTCCTTGTCGTGGATCGGGTTGTTGCGTTCGGCTGCCTGCAGCTTGCGTGATTCGTACGCTATCGGCTGCTACCCGTTCCCAAAATCTTGGAGAAGCACAGCTCCGATGGCGAAATCTGAGGCGTCGGTTACAACTTTGAACGGCTTCGATGGGTCGGCGATGCGCAGCACAGAAGGGGAAACGAGGAAATTCTTGAGTTCCTGGAAAGACGCTTCTGCCTCCTCCCCCCACACAAAATTCCTGTCCTTGTGCAGCAGGTCGGTCAGCGGGCTGGTTATCCCCGCCATATTCGGGATAAACCGCCGGACGTAATTCACGAATCCGAGAAAACTCTGAAGTTCCGTGACGTTCGTCGGGGACTTCCACTCCTGTTGATAAGAAACGAGAATGAATGCACTATGAAAGAGTTGGGTACAAGCACTAACCCTAATTGGGTTGTACCCCATATGGGCTACCCCACTATAGCCTACACAAAAGCATAAGCTATAATGTTCTGACACACCCCCATAGGCAAAGTGGGGGAGTACAAGGGGTCACAAGACCAGTCAAGCAAAGCAAAGCAAAGCAAAGCAAGCTCAGGGTGGATCACAAAGTCACCACACATTCCGAGCACAAGGTCAAGGCCACAAGGCCAGTTCACATGCAGGAGTACATATATATATAAAAGGCTAGACAAGCAAGAGCAGGTGTATATATATATGTAACAGTACAAGCAAGGTCAAGAGGTGAGCAAGTGAGGCAAGGTAGGCACAAGGCCCAGCTGAGTACAGAAGCGCTGATGGTCACAAGGCGCAAGCGCCTTGGTGAAGATATCAGCAGTGTTGGCCTCAGAGGCCACGTACGCAAGACGCAGCTGACCACGCTGCTGCAGCTCACGAGCAAGAAAGTAGCGGAGAGCAATGTGCTTCGTTCTGTGCTCCAGTCGCTGCTCCCGACAAAAGGCCAGCATGGCCTTGTTGTCTACGTACAGCACTGGAGGAGAACGAGGCGGCTCTCCGAGGTCAGTCAGCAGGTAGGTGAGCCAGCGTAGCTCCTGTGCAGCCATGGCTCCTGCGTAGATCTCAGCCTCACAACTGGAGCTGAGAACAGAAGACGAGCGAGTAGCCCGCCACGAGACAGAGCCGGAACCAAGGCTAAAGGTGTAACCCTGTGACGACCGCTGCGTAGCCTGGTCATCAGCCCAAGAAGCGTCCGCGTGCCCAGTGAGGACCACTGGACTCTGCCCTCCAAGCACAAGCCCCATGCCTGACGTACTGCACAAGTAGCGCAACACCCTCTTCGCTGCAGCCATGTGCTGCGGTCTGTGTCTCCCAGGAGCAACATAGCGTGCAAGAATGCTAAGAGGGTATGCAAGGTCAGGTCGTGTGCAGGTCATCAGGTACATGAGGCAGCCAACAAGCTCTGGGTACGGGCCACTCGACTCTACGGACTCATCCGAAGGCAGAGCTGAGAGCGAGTGGCGAGTAGGCAGAGGAGTGGCCTGAGGCGAGGAGTACGTGAAGCCGAAGCGCTGAAGGACCTGCTGCACCATGTGTGACTGAGTCAGGGTATTGGTGCGGCGTGCTCTGTCCCGAGTGATCTGCAAGCCAAGGTAGCTGCGCAGTTCACCCAGGTCAGTGCACGTGTGTCTATTCTGCAGCTCGGACTTCACGTGGGCGAGTCCAGCAGTGTCAGCTGTGGCAAAGACTAAGTCGTCGACGTACACGAGGATGTAGAACGGCGGCAGAGAAGTGTCGGTGCGCAGAAACAGTGACGGGTCAGCAGTAGAGGGAGCAAAGCCAAGCGACGCAAGTGTAGTCCTCAGTGTGTCGTGCCACTCACGCGGTGTCTGGCGGAGACCGTAGACTGGCCGCCAGAGGCTCCACTGGGTGCCAGGAGGAAAAGACCCAGTGAAGCCAGGTGGGCGACGCAGCCAGACCTCCTCGTGCAGGCTGCCCTGCAAGAAAGCAGTGCTGAAGTCAAGAGAGTGTAGCTCGTAGTCACGGTGAGCAGCTATGTGCAGCAGTACCCGAAGAGTGGTCATCTTCGGGGTGGGAGAGAAGGTCTGAAACTAGTCAACTCCGTGCCGCTGACTGAAGCCACGAGCCACGTAACGCGCCTTGAAGACTGGCGGAGAACCCGGCGGTCGCTTCACCCTGAAAATCCACATGCCACTGACGATGTTCGCCCCAAGAGGGGGAACAGCGTCAACGTAGGTGCCTGTGGACTTCCAGGAAGCCATCTCTGCGTCCATAGCTGCCTGCCACTGAGAGGAGTAGGGACCCTCTATCGCCTCCGCGTAAGAGCGCGGAGTCGGGATGTCAAGTGCATCCGGGTCTCCCTCAGGGGTAAGTAGTACGGACACGAGATGAGGTGAAGCAGTGGCTAAGCACTGGAACTCCTCCTGCCTGTCCTCGAGGACGTCCGTGCCAAGGGCACACTCACCCCCGACGGACGGAGTACAGACAGACTCATACTCAGCAACAAGACTGGCGGCGTAGTCTAAGCGACAGCAAGCAGCAAAGTCGACGAGCTCCGCAACTAGGGCAGACGCAGCAGTGGACTCAAAGGAAGGGCCAGTGACAACAGTAGCAAGGAGACGTGTGACAGTAGGACTGGCAGCACGAAGAGAGTCCGACTCCGGTTCGGCAAGAGCAGGAAGAGAGGACTCAGGAGGAGAAGGCAAAGGGGCACGCAGAGGAGCAGTGGACGGACGCAGAGACATCCGGTGCGTGCCAGGGACAGGAG